AGCTGGATCTCAAGGCATGATCAGATTCAGATTTGATCCCTTCAGAAACCCCAGGGGTTGGTGGTGTGTTCTCTCATCTGTGGTATCTAATGTCTGGGTTTCTGGTATTTTTGTTTGTTTGTTTTTGAGATGGAATCTTGCTCAGTTGTCCAGGCTGGACTACAGTGGTGACTACAGTGGCATGATCATAGCTCACTGCAGACTCGAACTCCTGGGCTCAAGCAGTTCTCCCACCTCAGCCTCCCAAGTAGCTGGGACTATAGGTACATGCGACCACACCTGGCTAATTTTTAAAATTGTTTGTGGAGATGAGGTCTCACTACATTGCCCAAGCTGGTCTTGAACCCCTGGCTTCAAGTGATCCTCCCACCACAGCCTCCTAAATCACTGGGATTACAGGCACCATCCACTGCACCCAGCCTGGCTCTGCTTTTTGATCAGAGCTAATGCTTTTAACCACACTGCTATGGGGACACCTCCCGGCTACCCTCAGCTGCCTGGGTTTTCTTCTATCTTCTGGACAGATTTGTCCCCAAAGATGAGCCCTTCATAGCTCCAGCGCTTCTGTGGCCGTGGGCCTGGCTAATGCCAGAAGGCAGCCCCTCAGAGTTCCCATCTGAGCCTCTCACACTCCGAGGTCTGTGGAGGGATGGGGTCCTGCCTCCCTGTTGAGCGTCACCTCTCTCTGCTCCTTTCTCCAACCTAGTACGTCAGTTAGACAAAATTCCACTTAGTTTCCCAAAAGGGCCACACTCTCCCTTACCTCAGGGCCTTTGCATATGCTGTTCCCAGACCAGAAATTGTGCCCCTGACCACCACTTCTTCTTTTTTTTTTTTTTTTTTTTTTTTTATTCAGAGTCTTGTTCTGTTTCCCAGGCTGGAGTGCAGTGGCGCAATCTCGGCTCACTGCAACCTCTGCCTCCTGGGTTCAAGTGATTCTCCTGCCTCAGCCTGCCGAGTAGCTGGGAATGCAGGCGCGCACCACCATGCCTGGCTAATTTTTGTATTTTTAGTAGAGATGGTGTTTCACCATTTGGCCAGGCTGGTCTCGAACTCCTGACCTCAAGTGATCCTCCCACCTTGGACTCCCGAAGTGCTGGGACTACAGGCGTGAGCCACCATGCCACCCCACCTGCCCACCTTTCCTAACTAAGCACTGCTGATCCTTGAGGTCCTAGTAGATCTGTCCATTCCTCCCCACACCAGCCACCAGATTGAATTGGGTGCCTTTTATGTACCTCCAGGGCTCTAGGCTAACCTAGTGGGTACTACTAATAAGTAGCACTTAGGCCACTAGATTATATTTGTCTGGTTTCTGATCTATTTCCCCTGCTAGAGTCTGAACTCCTTGAGGATAGAAAGTCTGGCATGGGGCCTGGCACATAGTAGGAGCTCAATAAACATCAAGTGCATGTGTGCATGAACGAACAGACAAATTGGCCTTTATGAGTCAGCAGGAGGCAAACCCAGGCACAATAGAAGAGGTTTTTCTTTTTGGTTTTTGTTTTGAGACAAAATCTCACTCTGTCACCCAGGCTGAGTGCAGTGGTGTAATCTCCGCTCACTGCAACCTCTGCCTCCTGGGTTCAAGTGATTCTCGTCCCTCAGTCTCCTGTGTAGCTGGGATTATAGGCATGCACCGCCACATCTGGCTAATTTTTGTATTTTTAGTAGAGAGGGAGTTTCACCATGTTGGCCAGGCTGGTCTCGAACTCCTGACCTCAAGTGATCCACCCACCTCGGCCTCCCAAAGTGCTGGGATTACAGGCGTGAGCCACCTCGCTCGGCCTCCAGACAAAGAGCTTTTCTAAGATGACACACGCAGAGCTCCCTCCAGGGAAGGTGGTGGTGCAGGTTGCAGAAAGAACTCCTGCCTAGGAAACTGCATCTCAGTCCTGGAAAAGTCTCAGAGCCCTTTCTTCAAACAATCATGCTAGGAACTCCCACATATAAGACAAGTTGCTGGGCACTGTGGCTCACACCTGTAATCGCATCACTTTGGGAAGCTGAGGTGGAAGGATCCCTTGAGGCCAGGAGTTCAAGACCAGTCTGGACAACAGATTGAGATCCTGTCTCTACAAAAAAATGTAAAAATCAGCTGGTATGTCTCTGTAGTCCTAGTTATGCAGGAGGCTGTGGCAGGAGGATCGCTTGAGCCAAGGAGTTCAAGCCTGCAGTAAGCTATGATCCCACCACTGTACTCCAGCCTAGATGCCAGAGTGAAACCCTGTCTCTCAAAGAAACAAAGAAACAAAGCAAAGCAAACAAACAAACAAACAAAAGATTGTTTCCTGGCGGGAGCCAAAACAAAAAACAAAAGCAAACAAAAATAATTTTAAAATGAACAAACCAACAAAAAGACAAATTAATGGGGAGGAGTCCTAGCTTCAGCATGGGAGAAGGCAGGAGGCCTGCCCTGGGCCCCCCTACCCTGAGCGTGAAGGGGCCTCTGGACAGTAGCCTGGCTACATTCTCCACTTCCTTTATCACAACTGGCATATCTATGATTTTATTATTATTTTTTAGACAGAGTCTCACTGTGTTGCCCAGGCTAGGGTGAAGTGGTGTGATCTCGGTTCACTGCAACCTCTGCCTCCCGTGTTCAAGCAATTCTCTTGCCTCAAACTCCCTAATAGCTGAGATTACAGTCAGGCAGCACTACGCCTGGCTAATTTTTGTATTTTTAGTACCAACGGGGTTTCACCATGTTGGCCAGGCTTCCCACGTCTTTGATTTTAGGCAGCCACACAGTGGGGACAAAGGAGTCCTAGTTTATCCCTAAGTCTATCTTGAGTGGTGTTCCTGGGGACTCACCCTGCCAGCTGATAGAGATGTCTACAGAAGCTCTCGTCCTGCAAATTCCCCTGCAAGTCCACTGTGTTTCTGAAACAGTGAAACTCTGGAGTCTCTGGTCAGAGCCAAGCTAGCACAGAGGCAGGCAGGGCTGCAGGCCTGCCTAGCAGGGCACAGAGCCAAGGGCTTAGTCTCAGAATTGGATTATTAAAGTGAATTTGGAGCTCACAGCCCCACTGACCTCGGGGACATGAGGATTACCCGGGCCTCTGACTGGGGCCCACGATCCTCCACATTCCCTGCCAGGTCTGAGAATACGCATCGTCCCTCTGCGGCAGCACAGGGGGCAGGGGATGCTCTGCCCACCTCCCACCCCCAGCCGTCAGCCCCGCAGCCTCCCCTGGCTGCCTGGAGGCACACCAGCCTCCCTTGTGTCTCAGATTTACAGCAGTGCTGTTCAGCTTGTTGTCCACGGACTGGCAGCATCAGCATCCTCTGGGAACTTGTAAGAAATGCACATTCATGGACCGCACCCCAGACATAGGATCAGAATCACTGCGGGGGTGGCCCAGATCTGGGCTTCACAAATGCTCCAGGCAATTCCGCTGTATGCTAAGGTTTGGGAACCAATGGCTTGAGGTACACCGGCCACCCCACACACCTGCCCAAGTGTGCCCCAAGCCTGTCTAAAACTCTGAACAACTTCTAACCACAAATTTCTCCTTTGGGCTCCTTTAAGACTTCGCTTATAGAAATGAATTACAATGGGTCTTTTCAATGGCATGATTCCACTGCAGTCTGAATAGCAGTCCCTGGGGTGTGCGATGCCATGCAATGCCCTGAGGGCATTTGCTATGCACTGACCCCATCCTTTATCATCCCCACATTACACATAAGGAAACTGAGGTTCAGAGACGAGATGCGACTGGCCCTAAGTCACACAGCAAGCAAACCCTGGGCCTATCGGCTACACATCTTCCCACTCAGCAGAGGGGATGGCAGCTCTTTCTTTCTTGTTTTAGGCAGAGTCTCGCTCTGTCACCCAGTGGCGTGATCTTGGCTCACTGCAGCCTCCACCTCCTGGGTTCAAGCAATTCTCCTGACTCAGCCTCCCAAGTAGCTGGGACTCCAGGCACGTGCCACCACGCTCGGCTAATTTTTCTATTTTGTAGAGACAGGGTTTTACCATTTGGCCAGGTTGGTCTTGAACTCCTGAACTCAAGTGATCCTCCCGCCTCGGCCTCCCAAAGTTCTGGGATTACAGGCGTGAGCCACCACGCCTGGCCAATGGTAGCTGTGTCTATATCTGTCTGTCCACACACACTGGGATTTCCTCCAGGGCAAAACCCTTGTCTTCACTTCCTTAGCCAAGCCTTTTCTGACCTCCCTAGAGGAGGCCAGGCCTCCTTATTATATTCTGCCAAAGGTCCCTGTATTTTTACTTAATAGCAGTGTCACAATTGGTAATCCTATACGATGTGTTTCTCTCATGTCTGTCTCTCCAACCAGCATGGAAGTTCCAGAAAGTCAGAAGTGATACAGGCCCTGCTGGATGCTTCTCTTCTTATAGAACCTGATTTTGTTCGGGGAAGCTGAGTACCCAGCTAAATAACTGACTACATTCTTCTGTCTCCCTTAGCAGTCCCAGGTTCTGGCCCACAGATGAGAATGGAAGTCATCAAGTACATAATAGGTACTCAATAAATGTATGTTGGCCAGGCAAGGAGACTCATGCCTGGAATCCCAGCACTTTGGGAGGCCAAGGCGGGCAGATCACTTGAGGTCAGGAGTTTGAGACCAGCCTGCCCAACATGGTGAAACCCCATTTCTACTAAAAATACAAAAATTAGCCAGGCATGGTGGCGGGCGCCTGTAATCCCAGCTGCTTGGGAGGCTGAGGCAGGAGAATCACTTGAACCTGGAAAGTGGAGGTTATAGTGAACCGAGATCATGCCACTGCACTCCAGCCCAGGTGACAGAGCTAAACCCTGTCTCAAAACAGAAAACATAGGAAGGTCAAAGGAACCCTCATCTGATTTCATTTTGAAATAAATAAACAAATAAAAAATGCCAAATGCAGAAATGCTCAGCTGGTTCTGGGTATGCAGTTGGTGCTCAGGACAGCTGGTTCGGGGTATGCAGTTGGTGCTTAGGAAACGTGAGGGTCATCTAACCAGGCCCAAGGAGGAAAGACCATCACGGCCGTCTTGCTCTTGGAAATATTTTTATTGGTTCTGAGATAACAGGGCTGAGGCGAGCTGGGAGGGGCGCAGAGCGAAGGTGGGAGGCTTTGCCCTGGGGCGGACATGCTGTGTGGGATCTGCTGGCGGGCTCCCTGGCCCACCCAGCCAGCAGCAGCTGGGCACATGGCCCTTGGCGCCTGGCATGACCTCTGCCGGCTTGGCACGGTGGCCTCCTCGTCGGCGGGCGCCCCCGCTTTCCAGTTGCAGGAGTGAGTCTTTCACAGTGCGGAGGGGTGGGGGTCCGGGGTGGGCGCCTCCCCGGGGTGCAGGCAGGCCCCATCCGCCAATACATCCTGGGCTCTCGGCGGCTACGGCGGGTGAGGCAAGCTCTGGCTCCTCTTCGCCCCGCCATTGGGAGCTTGGCAGTCCTGGAGGGGCCCCCGCGGCCTCAGCGGGACATCATCCGGACAAACTCTAGAAGGGTAGAGGAGCAGCTGGGGAGCAAGCAGCAGCCAAAGGCCTCCCCAGGGTGCTGCCTTCAGACCCCTCCCCATTGCCACTGCCCCAACTCTGTGCTGGTCCCCCATCCATTCCACCCCCTCCAATCCATCCACACAGCAGCCAGCTAGAGTGTTCGAATCTGCGGATCTGACCCCTGCGTAAACGTCCCACGGCTCTCCACTGGAAAATCTCCAATTTCCTGACACAACCGCATGGCCCTCCCTGATCTGGCCCTAGCTGACATCTCCAGCCATATCTCTCGGGCTAACTCCCAACCTATGTGCTCCAACTACGAAGATCTTTTCGGCCCCTCAATGCAGCTGGCTTGCTCTCTCTCTCTCTCTCTCTCTCTCACCTCTCAGCAAAGATGTATTCTTTGCTACTGCGGTGGTGAGATGGAGTCTCACTCTGTCACCCAGGCTGGAGTGCAGTGATGCAATCTCAGCTCACTGAAGCCTCCACCTCCTGGGTTCAAGCGATGCTCCTGCCTCAGCCTCCGGAGTAGCTGGGACTACAGCTGTGCACTACCACATTGGGCTAATTTTTGTACTTTTAGTAGAGACAGGGTTTCACCACGTTGGCCAGGCTGGTCTCCTCTCAGCTTTTCTGAAAGCCCAACTTGTACCCCCTCCCTTCTTCTTCTCTTCTTCTTCTTCTTCGTTTTTTTTTTTTTTTTTAATGTAGAGACAGAGTCTCGCCTGTCGCCCAGGCTGGAGCGCAGTGGCATGATTATAGCTCACTGTAACGTCCAACTCCAGGGCTCTAGAAATCCTCCTGCCTTGGCCTCCCAAAGTGCTGGGATGACAGGTGTGGCCACTGTGCCCAGCCCCTTCTCTCTCTCTCTCTCTCTTTTTTTTGAGACAGAGTCTTGCTCTGTTGCCCAGGCTGGAGTGCAGTGGCGTGATCTCGGCTCACTGCAAGCTCCGCCTTCTGGGTTCACACCATTCTCCTGCTTCAGCCTGCCGAGTAGCTGGGACTACAGGCGCCCACCACCATGCCCGGCTGATTTTTTGTATTTTTAGTAGAGACGGGGTTTCACCGTGTTAGCCAGGATGGTCTCGATCTCCTGACCTTGTGATCCGCCCGCCTCGGCCTCCCAAAGTGCTGGGATTACAGGCGTGAGCCACCGCGCCTGCCTCTCTTTTTAAGGGCAATTTTAGGTTTACAGCCAAATGGAGTAGAAAGTATGGAGATTTTTTTCTGCAATCCCTGTTGCCACATATGCATAGCCTCCCACCCCAACCACATTCCACACAGAGGGTGCATTTGTTATAACTGAGCGACCTACACCGACACATTGCTATCACCCAGAGACCACAGTTTACATCAGGGTTCACTGCTGGCGATGCACATTCTATGAGTTCGGACAAACGTATAATGACATGCATCCTCTGCTGTTGTATCTTACAGAATCGTTTCTTTTTCTTTTTATTTATTTATTTATTTATTTATTTATTTATTTATTTATTTTATTTTATTTTTTTTTGAGACGGAGTCTCGCTCTGTCGCCCAGGCTGGAGTGCAGTGGCGCAATCTCGGCTCACTGCAAGCTCCGCCTCCCGGGTTCACGCCATTCTCCTACCTCAGCCTCCCGAGTAGCTGGGACTACAGGCGCCCGCCACTGCGCCCGGCTAATTTTTTTTTCTATTTTTTAGTAGAGACGGGGTTTCACCATGGTCTCGATCTCCTGACCTTGTGATCCGCCCGCCTCGGCCTCCCAAAGTGCTGGGATTACAGGCGTGAGCCACCGCGCCCGGCCTTTTATTTATTTTTGAGACAGGGTCTCACTTTGTCACCCAGGCTGGAGTACAGTGGCACAATCTCGGCTCACTATAGCCTCGCCCTCCCAGGCTCAAGGAATCCTCCCGCCTCAACTCTCCAGGTAGCTGGGACTACAGGCACACGCCACCACGCTTGGCTAATTTTGTTTTTGTGTATTTAGTAGAGACAGGGTTTTGCCATGTTGCCCAAGCTGGTCTCAAACTCCTGACCTCAAGTGATCCTCCTGCCTCGGCCTCCCAAAATGTTAGGATTACAGGCATGAGCCACTGTACCTGGCCTCATACAGAATAGTTTCACTGCCCTAAAAATCCTCTCTGCTCTGCCTATTCATCCCTCCCTCTCTCCAACCCCTTGCAACCACTGATCTTTTTACTGACTCCATAGTTTTGCCTTTTCCAGAACGTCATATAGACGAAATCATATAGTATGCAGTGTTTTCAGATTGGCTTTTCACTTAGTAATATGCATGTGTGTCCCCTCTTCACCACGTCTTTTCATGGCTAGATAGCTCATCTCTCTCTCTCTCTCTTTTTTTTTTTTTTTTTTTTTTTTTTTTTTGAGACAGAGCCTTGCTCTGTCGCCCAGGCTGGAGTGCAGTGGTGCCATCTCAGCTCACTATAACCTCTGCCTCCCGGGTTCAAGTGATTCTGTGTCTCAGCCTCCCAAGTAGCTGGGATTACAGGTGCGTGCCACCACACCCAGCTAATTTTTTTGTATTTTTAATAGAGACAGGGGTTCACCATGTTGGTCAGGCTGGTCTCAAACTCCTGGCATCAAGTGATCTGCCCACCTCGGCCTCCCATAGTGCTGGGATTCCAGGCATGAGCCACCGCACCCGGCCTAGCTCATCCCTTTTTAGCACTGAGCAATATCCCATTGTCTGGATGTACCACAGTTTATTTATCCGTCACTTACTGAAAGGACATTTTGGTTGTTTCCAAGTTTGGACAATTATGAATAAAGCTGCTATAAGCATCTACGTACAGACTTGTGTGGACATAGGTTTTCAACTCATTTGGGTAAATACCTGCCCTTCCCTCTCACCTGATGGCTCTTCTCATTTTGGGGGGCTCTGATTGTTTATAACCTCCTCCAGGAAGTCTTCCCTAATCCCTCTCTGCAGCCTGGCACAGGTGCCCCCTCTATCGCAGCCCCCTGTGTTTCCCCCAGCACACATGGATTATGCTATTGTTTTCTCTGGTTTTCTTGCTGGGCTTGGGTTCCTCGAGGCAGAGACCAGATCTTAGCACACAGCAGATTTACAATGCATTTTCATAGGATGAATGGGGGATGCCAGGCTTTCAAGAGCAAGGCTATCATCTGTGGTGGGCACTACCTGGATACAGGGAGACCTGAGATTTTCGGATCTGGTGACAATAAAGCCTTCTATCCAACTATCCACGCTCCCCGGCCTTGAAGGCTGACTGCTCCTGAGAGAAAACCTCCCATCCTTTGTGTTCTGGACACTCACAATCTCTGGCACACGCTTCTCTTGTCTTTCTGCTCAGCATGCAAGTTCCTGGTGCGCAGAGTCAACATTTTACCCTTTCCCTGTATCCCCTAGTGCCTCGCATGGTATCATGCACAAGACTGCATTCTGCTGTGATTTCAGGCCTGGGGCTGTGCCCCAGCTCTGCCTCTTAATAGGCGGGCAATCTTGAGCTAGTTCTATTACTTCTCTGAGCCTCAGTTTCCTCATCTGTAACACGAGGTTATAATAATGCACCCCATAGGGTCACTGTGATAATTAAATGTAATAGTATGTGTAAAGCTACTTAGTACAATGACTGCACATAAGTGTACAGTAAATGATAACTATTATGATTATTATTGATTCTTTAAAAAGAAAGCCTTTGAGGCTGGGTGCTGTGTCTCATGCCTATAATCCCAGCACTTTGGGAGGCCAAGGCGGGTGGATCACTTGAGGCCAGGAGTTCGAGACCAGTCTGGCCAACATGGTGAAACCCTGTCTCTACTAAAAATACAAAAAATTAGCCGAGCATGGTGGTGGGCACCTATAGTCCCAGCTACTCGGGAGGCTGAGGCACAAAATCACTTGAACCCGGGAGGCAGAGATTGCAGTGAGCCGCGATTACGCCACTGCACTCCAGCCTGGGTGACAGAGCAAGACCTGTCTTAAAATAATAAATAAATAAATAACCTTTTACTGAACACTAGCTGTGTTACGCAGGAAATGCAGATATTTTAAAAATAGGGTTCTTCTTTCAAAGTTCAGAGTCAATTGGGAAGACAACTCTAACCAGCAGTTAGGGGTCAGTGTGAAGAACAGGTGAGTCTGAAGTGCTGTGAAAACCCAGAAAAGAGGAAGTTCAGTTTGAGGAACCAGGGAAGTTGCTAGAGGAAGGAGTCCCACTGTCGGGTCATGAAGAATGTCCCTTGGGCTAACAGAACTTAGCCCAGGTAAAGAACAGGATAAAAGCCCTCCTGGAGGCCAGGTGCAGTGGCTCATGCCTGTAATCCCAGCACTTTGGGAGGCTGAGGCGGGTGGATCACTTGAGGTCAGGAGTTCAAGACTAGCCTGGTCAACACGGTGACACCCCGTCTCAACTACAAATACAAAAATTAGCCGGGCATGGTGGTGGGAGCCTGTAATCCCAGTCACTTGGGCGGCTGAGGCAGGAGAATCGCTTGAATCCAGGAGATGCAGTTTGCAGTGAGCCAAGATCCTGCCACCGCATTCCAGCCTGGGCAACAGAGTGAGACTCTGTCTGGAAAAAAAACAAAAAAACAAAAAAAAGGCCCTCCTGGCAAAAAAAATCAGAGTATTCAAGAGAGACCCTAGCAGGTTCACTGGTCACAGGTATTTTGGTGGAGTGTGAATGAAGGACTGTGAGTTGCGGCTGGGGAGGTGAGCTGTGATCAGATCTTAGGGAGCCTGAGTGTCAAGTTGAGGAACATAATGTTCAGAAAACACCTACTGTGGGCCGGGCGCGGTGGCTCAAGCCTGTAATCCCAGCACTTTGGGAGGCCGAGATGGGCGGATCACGAGGTCAGGAGATCAAGACCATCCTGGCTAACACGGTGAAACCCCGTCTCTACTAAAAAATACAAAATATTAGCCGGGCGTGGTGGCGGGCGCCTGTAGTCCCAGCTACTCGGGAGGCTGAGGGAGGAGAATGGCGTGAACCTGGGAGTCGGAGCTTGCAGTGAGCTGAGATCCGATCACTGCACTCCAGCCTGGGCCACAGAGCGAGACTCTGTCTCAAAAAAAAAAAAAAAAAAGGAGAGAAAACACCTACTGTGGATGGATGCATGAGTGGGTAGACAGATAAATGGACAGAGAAGGATGGGTACAGATGGACACAGGGATGGGTGAATGGATGAGTAGCTGGATATAGATGAGGAAATGACAGAACCGATAGATACATAGATCAATGCAAGTATGGGTAGAAGTATATGCAGACAAAGAGACGTGAATGTGTGAATGGAAGTATAGAAGTACGAACGCATAGAGAGATCGATATGAGTAGATGAATACGTGGATAGATTCATGGATGAATGTAGAGAAGAATTAATAGATGCATGAATGGACAGATAAATGCATGGATAAATGGCTATAGGAATGATTGTTTAGAGATGGAGGAATGGATAAATAGTCATCTGGACAGATAAGGAGATAAACGGATGAAAAGATGGAGAGATAGGGCTGGGCACGGTGGCTCATGCCTATAATCCTAGCACTTTGGGAGGCCGAGGTGAGTGAATTGCCTGAGCTCAGGAGTTCGAGACCAGCTTGGGCAACATAGTGAAACCCCACCTCTACTAATATACAAAAAAAAATTTAAAAACAATTAGCCAGGCATGGCGGCGTGCACCTGTAGTCCCAGCTACTTGGGAGGCTGAAGCAGGAGAATCGTTTGAACCCGGGAGGCAGAGGTTGCAGTGAGCCAAGATGGTGCCACTGCACTCCAGCCTGGTGACAGAGCAAGACTCTGTCTTAAAAAAAAAAAAAAAAGAAAAGAAAAGATGGAGAGACAGAGAGACAGATATGGAAAGATGGACAGATAGATGAATAGGTAGATGAATGGATGGACAGATGGATGGATAGGTGGATGGATGGATGGATGGATGGATGGATGGACATGTGGATAGATATGTAGACAAATGGATGGATGGATGGATGGATGGATGGATGGATGGATGGATAGATGGATGGATGGATGAATGGATGGATGGATGGATGATGGACAGATGGATAGATATGTAGATGGATGGATGGTGCCACTGCACTTCCAGCCTGGTGACAGAGCAAGACTCTGTCTTTAAAAAAAAAAAAGAAAAGAAAAGATGGAGAGACAGAGAGACAGATATGGAAAGATGGACAGATAGATGAATAGGTAGATGAATGGATGGACAGATGGATGGATAGGTGGATGGATGGATGGATGGATGGATGGAGGATATGTGATAGATATGTAGACAAATGGATGGATGGATGGATGGATGGATGGATGGATGGATGGATAGATGGATGGATGGATGAATGGATGGATGGATGGATGATGGACAGATGGATAGATATGTAGATGGATGGATGGATAAATGGACAGATTAATGGAAAGGTAGAGGATGGATAGATGGATGGATGGATAGATGGATGGATGGATAGATGGATGGATGGATGGATGGATAAATGGATGGATGGATGATGGACAGATAGATAGGTAGATGGATGGATGGATGGATAAATGGACAGATGGATGGATAGGTAGAGGATGGATAGGATGGATAGGATGGGTAGATAAATGGATGGATGGATGATGGATAGATGGATAGATATGTCGATGGATGGATGGATAAATGGACAGATTAATGGAAAGGTAGAGGATGGATAGATGGATGGATGGATAGATGCATGAAGAGATGCACGGGGAAGGAATGGGAGGTGGATTAGAGGGGGCGTGGGTGGAGGGAGAGGAGGATGAAAGGGCGGGGGTTGGAAAGTTAGGGTGGATTGATAGGTTACATTATGGATACACAATTGGAGGGCTCCACGGATGGCCACTGCTGGCTTGCTTCTCTCCCACTTTCAAGCCCCACCTACCTTCAAAGTCCACTCGTCCATCCCCATTGAGGTCCACATCTCGGATAATTTCCTCTATGTCTCGGTGTCCCACCTGATGGCCCAGGAGCTTCCTCATAGCCTCTCGCAGCTCACTGGTGCTTATTTCCCCATCACCATTGGTGTCAAACTAGAGAAGGCAGGAAGGAAGGAGAGGTCTCCCCAACATGGTGATTGGCGGCATCAGGTCCCAAAGTTGAGCTCCTTCTCCAGTGTCATTTCCCCCCTTTACCAGAGACCTTTTTCTGCCCAAGCTCCCTCCCCTGATCTGGGACTTGGGGCTTGGGCTTCTTTTGAAGTATTTATCCTGCAGATAGGATTCCAATAGCTGCCCCCATGCCTGCCTGCCTCTGCCCGTTACCTCTCGGAAAGCATCTCGCAGTTCCTTTACACCAATCATATCTGCTGTCTCTGCCAGGAGTTTAGGCCCCATTAGCTCCACGAAGTCATCAAAATCTACATGGCCACCCACTGGAAAAAGAGGAAAGGGCTAGGTCATCCCCAATAATACCCATTCCCTGTCTCCAAGTAGACAACTGACAGAATGGGCAACCCCTCCTTGAACTGCTCATCAGACAGAGAAAAACTTAATAATAACAGGAGCCCTCTGTTCAGTTCTTCCTGTGAGCTAGTTATTGGGCTGTTTTACAGATATTCCCTAATCTACTTTCTGGGCTCCACTCCTCCAATTCGGCCCTCATTTTACAGGTGAGGAAACTGAGGCTCAGAGAGGGTAAGTCGTTGGCCCCAGATCACAGAGCTGGAAAGAGGTGGATGCAGAATTTGAAGCCAGTCCTGTCTGACTGCAGAGGACAGCAAGGGTGAGGACCGGAAGGGACACAGGTGCCTGGTAGAGGGACTCACGGTTCATGTTGATCTGCTGGGACAGTTCGATGAGCTCCATCTCAGTGGGCATGTAACCCATGGTGCGCATGCAGTTGCCCAGGTCCCGGCAGTTGATGTAGCCATCCTTGTCCTTGTCGAATTCTCTGAAGGCCTCTCGGAGCTCTGGGGAAGTGAGCAAAGGTGAATGTCGTTGGGGGTAGGACCTGAAGATCCTCTGTGGGCAAAGGCAGCCCAAAGGCCCACCAGCGTGGCAACAGGGGCCCAGGAGCTTCCCAGGATGCTGGGGTATTTCTCTTGCCTTCTGTGCACACCTTCAGCAGCTGGTTTCACAGAAGATCGCCCGTGTTGCACCAGGCCCCATTCCCAGGGGCCTCTCTTCCCATCAACCTCCCTTCCCACACCTTCATGGAGGGTTAGGCAGTCCTTTCCCCCAAGGGGCCAAGTTTTACCTTCGATTTCCTCTGGTCGCAGCGATCTATCCTGAAACAAAAGAACATGTCCTATTAGCCGCAACAAGGGACCTGGAAGTCACAAAATATCTAACCTGGGGGCCATCCAAGTGGCAGCAGGCACTGGGTAGGAGGTGATGAGGATGCAGCAGAAGTGTGCCTGGATGGGATCCTTGAGGGGAAAAGAAAGCCCCACATCTCACTTAGACATGGAAGCTCCTGGGCCGCTAACAAGAGATTCCCAAGGAGCCACCAGCCCCACCAGCCTGGACACAGAACCTCTGCGCCTCCAGCCCCTTGTTCCAGATACAAGAATGGATGAGCAGGAGTTTGAGGCTGTAGTGAGCTATGATGGTACCATGGCTCTCTGTCACCCTGGGCAACAGAGTGAGACCCTGTCTCAAAAAAAAAAAAAAAAAAAAAAAAAAGAATGAGTCAGGGAACAGAGTTGGTCTGGTGGCAAAAACCTGCAAATAAAACAGGGTCCAGGGAGGCCACAACAGGGAGAAGAGAGCACCACCCAATGAACCAGGAAGAGCAGGGCGACAGAGGCTGCAAGACAACAGATGAGGCGCCGGAGGGGAGAGAAGGCAGGGCCATCCTGAAGTGGGGGTGGGAGGACAGGGAGGAGTCAGGAGGAGGCGTGGCAGCAGAATGGGACTGTGTCTGCTTCCCAGGCACTGCCCCACCTTCTCCAATTTGAGCCCCATCCCTATATGTTGCCCTGTCACAGGACACCATATAGGACCCCAGGGGCCACCAGTGCTTCTGGCTGCAGCCAGGGTCCAAAAAGCACATGTCTCCAACCTCAAGTAGTGCCCAGGTCTCCTGGGCAATCAAGGCAACCCCGAATCCAGGCGTCAGAACAGATGGCAGAGACATCTCCGAGGAGCAGGCCTGGAGGAAGCTCAGGTTGGTGAGGTGCCGGTTGTCCCAGGCCTGCCCCACCGGTTGTCCCAGGCCTGCCCAGGAGGGAGACAGACGGGCATAAAATGGGTGCAGGTGCCCAGCTGGACCTGGTTAGTACACTCTAAAAGTGGCCTTCAGCGTCCAGCCTCTCCCGTGTTGCAGCTCTCTGCCTTTGGGCACGGAGAACACCAGGCAGGTGTGCCCATCCTGAAGAAGCTCGCACAGCTGTGGGCATACCTCTCGTGAACACAGACACGCGGGCATGCCATAGTGAGCGTGTGGCACCTCCACTGTGCATGCAGGCCGTTCCAGCCAACGGGGCCAGGGTGGGTGGAGACAGTCACTCCAAACTGGCCCCAGGACAAAAGACAACACCAGAAAATCTGCAGATCATCTAGAAAGGGAAGGGCTGCTGAGTCACATCTCATGGAACAACCAGGTGCATAGGACCAAGAGCTCAGAGGTGGCTCTGTGTGGCAGGACAGCGTTGAGAGTGTGTGTGAGCTTGGAGGGAGCAGACTGCAAGCTCCCAGCTCCCCCAGGCCGGGGGTAGGAGTCACCCAAAGGGAGGCGTGTCCCCGAGATGACTGCAGGGACGTTCGCCTATAAAGTTCGCCATGGGCCAGGCACGGTGGCCCACGCCTGTAATCCTAGCACTTTGCGAGGCCAAGGCAAGAGGATCACTTGAAACCAGGAGTTCGAGACCAGCCTGGGCGATATAGTGAGACCTCATCTCTACAAAAAAAAAAAAACACCTGTTTTAGTTAGCCAAGCATGGTGGTGTATGCCTGTTGTCCCAGCTACTCGGGAGGCTGAGGCAGGAGAATCACTTGAGCCTGGGAGGCAGAGATTGCAGTAAGCCAAGATTGTACCACTGAACTTCAGCCTGGGCAAGAGAGTCAGACTCTGTCTCAAAAACAAACAAACAAAAAGCTGGTCATGGTGCCTGGCTCAAGGGTAGGTCGCAGTCATTCCAACACAAACCCATATGTTCCTAGATGTTCTTGGGTGACCAAAAAGGATGTTTTGTGCAACGGGTCATCCCAGCAGTCAGTGAAAGCGAGCGAGTAAGCGCGTGTGTACACATGCGTGCAGAGCACACCCCCGAGGACCCCACGCATCAGGCTTTAAGCAGCCTCCCACTTCTCCAGGGCCCAGTTCTGCAGGACTCAGGAGGAACAGGCATTGCTGACTCCATCACAGCCCCTTCCGTTCCTCCTGTACACCCAGAGCCCAGGGGGCAGCAAAGCTGGGTGCCCCTTCACAGGGTGTGCCCGCCACCAGAGCTGGTCTGCTGAGTACTGACGGCTGGTCCTCGGATCACACTCCCCGGGCACAGCAGTAGTGATGTGTGTTCTCTGCCCTGGAGTAGAGCCAGGGATGCCCACTAATGTGCCAGGAAGATCACGTGCAGCAACTCAGGGTCAGGTGGGAGTGCGGTGCAGGAACATGCCTTTCTCCCCAGTTCATGTGGTTGGGGAGATGCACTTGGGCCCTAGAGGAAGACAGACCTGAGTATGAAGCTCAGATCTGCTTCCTCAGGCAGGTCACTCTGTTGTTTGAGCCACAGTCTCCTCATCTGTAAAATGGGTTAATACCATTTCCCACCTCACAGGGCCTTAGTGTGCATTCAGTGAGACAAGCTATTAAAATGTTTAGCATGTGGCATTCAATAAATGCAACCTACAAATATTTACCTCTATAACATCCTCATTAGTCCTCTCCTCTCTTTGAACTATTTAGCTACTTGTAGAAAGCTGGCCAGTTCAGTAGCCGCTAGCCACATGTGGCTATGTAAATTTGAGTAAGAATAACATAAAATCCATAATTCAGTTCCTTAGTTGCACTAGCCACATTTCAAGTGGTCAATAGCCACATGTGGCTAGTGGCTACTGTATCAGACAGCACGGAATTTAGAATATTTCCATCATTGTAGAAAGTTCTACCGGATAGTGCCACATATACAGAGTTGTCATTAGGAGCACAAGAGGTTCTTGAGTCAGACTATCCAAGTGTGAACCCTACCTCTACCACCACCAAGCTGTTACCTTGAGGATGTGACCTCTGCAAGTCGGTTTTCTTTCTCTTTCTTTCTTTTGTTTTTTGATGGAGTCTCACTGTGCTGCCCAGGCTGGAGTACAGTGGTGCGATCTTGGCTCACTGCAACCTCTGCCTCCTGGGTTCAAGCGATTCTCCTGCCTCAGCCTCCCAAGTAGTTGGGATTACAGGCATGAACCACCATGCCCAGCTAATTTTTGTATTTTAGTAGAGCTGGGCTTTCACTATGTTGGCCAGGCTGGTCTCAAACTCCTGACCTCAAATGATCCACCCACCTAGGCCTCCCAAAGTGCTGGGATTACAGGTGTGAGCCACTGTGCCCAGCCCAAGTCAGTTTTCTCATCTGTAAAATGGGGACGATAAAAGCACCTACCTCTTAGAGTTGCTCTGAGGCTTAAATGAGGCAGTCAGTCCGCCCACACACTAGGCACAGGGCTCACCTAGTAAGTGCTCATAACAATGTATCTGATATTATTTGTATTATTATTATTCTGCTGGTGGATATGGACTCACCAGCACTTTGTAGCCATGAGTGGAAAACTTTGGGGATCAGATTCACAAGTTGGGGGTGTGAGCTCTGTATAGACTCCTTCTTCTTCCCAGCACCTCCTCACGCCCTGTGAAGCCGAGTTCAGCGGGCTCCACTGGGCCAACTTACGTACAGGCTGCCTGTTCTCAGCGAAGCCCTTGCGCAGGAAAATGCAGGCAGGGCCCAGCAGGTTGTGCATGACTGCGCAGTTCTGGGCCAGCATCAGGAGCGGTCCTGGGAGCTCGGTGTCGGCCGCCAGCCCCTCCTCGCTCGTCTGTACCACCATGTAGCTGGTCTGTTCCTCCTGGCACATCTTCAGCCAACACCAAGCAAATGCAAAAGAGAGGCAGGTTGTCACCTCCCTGCCCAGCCTGGCTCCTGGTCCCGGGAGGGGCTTTCCGCAAGAAGGGACCCTGAGAGTCAAGGAGTGGGGTTCAGAGAGCCCTGAGCGTGCACAGGCATCAAATCGGTCCGACAGACGGAGTCTCCAATCCTTGACGGAAATGGTGGTTCCGGCGAGAGCTGAATGTGATGCCCTCTGTGTGGCACATGCACACGTGCACAAACACACACACACACACAGGCACACACATATGCACAGACTCACACACCCATGTGCATGAAGAGACAGGAGCAGCGGGGGGCTTCTATTCTAATCAATGGCAAGTGTTCACTCAGAGCCTAGTGAAGCAACATCCTTTTCCAAAATGCTCCCAACATCCCAGTTCAATCAATCTCCAGGGCTAAGTCATTCCTCCCAGCTCCCAAACGGACTTGCCCTACCCCAGCCAGATCCCCGCTGGAAGGCTGTGAGGGCAATCGGAGCTGGCAGCATGGAGACCAGGCTCGGCTGGTCTGCCAGACCGGAGCTTGCACACGCAGGTGCCATTGCTGACATAAATGAAGCAGGCAGGGTGTGAGGGGGAGGACTGGGGCAAAGTGGAGACGGTGCCCCCTCCTTTTTTTTTTTTTTTTTTTTTTTTTTTTTTTGGTGGCTAGTGCACTCTGTCACCCAGGCTGGAGTGCAGTGGTGTGATCTCGGCTCACTGCAACCTTTGACTCCCAGATTCAAGTGATTCTCCTGCCTCAGCCTCCCGAGTAGCTAGGTTTACAGGCACCCGCCACCATACTGGCTAATTTTTTTTTGTATTTTCAGTAGAGATGGGGTTTCACCATGTTGGCCAGGCTGGTCTCAAACTCCTGACCTCAGGTGATCCTCCTGCTTCAGCCTCCCAAAGTGCTGGGATTACAGGCATCAGCCACTGCACCTAGCCTGAGATGGTGCCCCCTCTGAAGAGGTAGCACTATTTAACTCCAGCCCAGTGTAACCAGATCTGATTTAAAGCACCGGGTGGGCCACATAAGGCACAGCTGTAGGTAGGATTCCACCCAGTTTGTGATTTCAAGACTAGATATTCTCTGCCATCCACCAGTTCTTTTCCTCCCTCCCGCCTTCCCTGGCTCCCTGCCTGGCCCAGAGTGCCGGACCTCTAGAGGCTAAGGCAGGGGCCTTCTCTGCTTACCTAATATAGCTGTGCTCCCAGGCCCTGACCAGCCGGTCCTCCGCCCTGAAGGTTCCCATGCAGCTATAAAAAGTCAGCACTGCCCACAGACCTTCCCCTTAGGACAACAGCAGCATCCGGACACAACATTCAGTTCTCCCCGACCTCCCGGGATGCCCAGTGCCTCTCCAGAATCCAGCTCCTGCACTCTGCCTTCAGCCTGGAGCCTGCATACCTTCCTTCAATGTGGGGGGATTTGGCTAGAGTAGGACCTTCCCAAGGAGCGACAGGAGCTGAAATCCTGAGGGCTGTCTTTGTCTGAGAACTGCAGGTCTGTGCACCCTATCCTTCCATCCTACTGCGTTCTACTTGCAGCCAGATTCCTCCAAGGCAAAGAAGGCCCTGCCTAGGAGAACATCCCAAAACCTAGGGGCAGCCTGTCCTTCCAGGCTGAGACGCAAAACAAGCCCCTGCCCACCATGTCCTCTTCTACTTCCTCTCCCCAAAGCCCTGTGGGGGAGACTCCCTTCCATCTTCCTAAGCCCCTTCCAGGCCTAGAGAGGATGGTGCAGTATTCTGGTTCCTCAAAGGGGAAGCAGCTTCTCAGGCTGGAGGTGAAGGAACTCAGTCCCAGGGCCAAGTTCGATGAGTGCCATAAATGTCCATTTTAGGTGATCCCAGAACTTAAAGGATGTCAGACAATCCAAGGGCCGCCCCCCCCCCCCCCCCCCGGTTTGATATCCCAAACAGTTGTGATTCAGAGCCTCGGCTTCACTCACTCAGACTTCTGGGACCTAGACTAGAGCGAGACAAGACTAGAGCGAGGCAGAACAAGAGACCTTCCCGTCCGGGATAGTGGATCAAAGCCTGCCTGAGATGACAGTGACTGGCCGAACCCAGGAACCAGTCTCAGGAGGTGTCTGCAGAGAGTCAGCGTTTTTGTTTCTGGCTGAATCTTCTGCACTTGGCTCAGAGATGGCATCACCCAGGAAGGTGGGGAGGCAGCAGGTGGCACAGAACTCCGAGAGGCAGGCCGGGCACGGCGGCTCACACCTGTCATCCCAACACTTTGGGAGGCCGAGGCAGGTGGATCACCTGAGGTTAGAAGTTCAAGACCAGCCTGCCAACATGGTGAAACCCCATCTCTACTAAAAATACAAAAATTAGCTGGGTGTGGTGGCGGGCGCCTATAATCCCAGCTACTTGGGAGGCTGAGGCAGGAGAATCACTGAACCCAGGAGGCGGAGATTTCAGTGAACCGAGATGCACCACTGCACTCCAGCTTGGGTGACAGAACGAGACTCCATCTCAAAACAAACAAAACAAAACAAAAAAAAACCTTAAAAGGCAGTTTAGTCTGCTGGCTTTGGGCTCAAACAGTCTTAGGGACAAATTCTGGCTCTGCCACTTGCTTGCTGTGTGACCTTGGGCAGGTCATTTCACCTCTCTGTGCTCCAGTTTCCTTCTCCATACCGTGGGAGACGATCATGACTAGTCACAGGATTCCTGCGACAAGTAAATGAGTTATACACATCAAGTGCTCCGCGTGGTGGCTAGGGCATGGCAAGAGGAGGTGAATAAATAGAGTTGCCATAGTGATGGCAATGATGGCGATGATGATGGTGGTGGTAGCGATGTAATTTAAGAGATATTGGGTGCCAGAAGGCATTTACTTCTGGCTGCAAAGGAAGTGGGGGAGCATCTGCCAATCAGGAAGAAATGAGAAGGATGGAGAGGAATTTGCTCCCATGAAGAATGGAGCAGTGGTGGCTGGGGAATTTCCACTGCATCTCTTGATCATAATACTGCCTGGCACCAAGTTGCCCCAGAGGCTGCAATTCATCTCTGGCCAATGATGGCACCTGACAGTCTGGTCCTGCCCAGCTCTGAGCCTGGTGCAGGCTGCCTCTCACCATTTCCAGTTCCCCAAATACTGCTCAGGAAGCCAAGTGGGCAGCGGCCCATGGACAGACAATTTCTCCTGGCACCAAGTTGACGTCTCCTAAGCGTGGCATAGCAACAGGAGGGGCAAGCGTGCCTCATGACCTCACAGCTTTCTAATAACACAAGCTGGCCAAGAGTATGCACGTCAAAGCTCCCTCTTGCTGAATGAAGGTCTTCAAGGAGAAGCTGAATGAGGGAGAGCCTGGTGAGCGGGGAGGGGACTGATGCACTGAGCGGGAATTTGGACTAGATGACTTCTAAGGTCAGATCCAAAAATCTATGACTAACATTTCTGACAGCAGGGGAAAGAGAGAGGCAGCCTCTCACAGAGGAAAACAGAAAAATAAAATGCCAGCTCTGATTTTATACAGACTAGGGTTTAAATCCCAGCTCTGCTTCCTATTGACTGTGTAACCTTAGGAAGGCTCTGTCTCTGAGTCCAGCTTCTTTCTCTATAAAATAACCAAAATGACTATGTAGTGGAAAAGAGAAAATGAGATAACAGGCATTAGGTATGTTGTAGATATTTAGAAAAAAAAAAGCAAGGCCGGGCGCGGTGGCTCAAGCCTGTAATCCCAGCACTTTGGGAGGCCGAGACGGGTGGATCACGAGGTCAGGAGATCGAGACCATCCTGGCTAACACGATGAAACCCCTTCTCTACTAAAAATACAAAAAACTAGCCAGGCGAGGTGGCGGGCGCCTGTAGTCCCAGCTACTCCGGAGGCTGAGGCAGGAGAATGGCGTAAACCCGGGAGGCGGAGCTTGCAGTGAGCTGAGATCCGGCCACTGCACTCCAGTCCGGGCTACAGAGCAAGACTCCATCTCAAAAAAAAAAAAAAAAGAAAAAGAAAAAAAAAAGCAATTATTAAGAATATGATAGAAACATGAAATTGAATGCAGTAAGTTTTTTTTTCTCTTTTACTCTATGGACTGAAAATCTCTCCTATTTCCTTTTTATCCTCCATCCGTCTTCTCTAAAACCCAGAGTGGAACAATTATGATTATGATGACAAGAATACTAACATTTATTGACTATTATAGGCCAGCCACTGTGCACAGAACTTTATTTCATTTTCAGAATCACCTGAAGAGGTGGATATTAGTATGCCCAACTGATGGATGGACAAGGGAATCAAGGAACAGAGAGGTTAAGTAATTTGTCTAAGGTCACATGGCCAGAAAGAGGAGGCCTGTGTAGTCTGACTCTTAAGCACGTTGTTGTGTAAGGGAGGATGCAGGGGACAGAAGGATGATTCTTGTTCTTAAGTTCACTTCCTCAGGCTCTGGATGGAACTATTACAACGGCTAATTCAGATCACTTTCTGCTTCTCTGGAACAGCGCGGAGGCCACTTCCGACGCAGAAGACTCCCCTAAGAAGATATCAGATTATGGGGGAGGTGTGCACGGAAGAAACAACAAGCCCTTGGAAGGATCCAAGGAGCAGCAAAGATTAGAAGGAATTTGATGTGAGCAGCTTAGCCAAATGAGGAAGACGACAAGCAGAAAAGCCCAAAATGTCCTAAATTGAGAGGCTGTTAAACTGACCGAGATAGGATGGGGTTGGGGATAGAGACGCCAATAGCTCACCCGAGGCCACAGGTAAGTCACTTAACCCCTCCCTCTGAATGTCAATGAAGTTCCTTTTCTGGAAAATGGAAGAATTAGAAGAAAACCACCCCATCATTCCCTCTTTCTTTAAATAATATCTGAGTCTCTTCTATGGCCTGGCTACAGAGGGCTAGAAAAATAGGCAGAGCCCACCTAACCCAAAACCCTATAGGTGCAAACCCAGCCTTGCATGAAAGATGCTTTAGAGATGATCATTTTCTTTCTAAAAGGAATTTTTGAAAAAAAAAAAAAAATTCCAAGTGTATGAGCGATAAAGCCACTACAGAAAGTGACTTATATACAACCCCTGCTCAACACATCGCCCAGGCAGCCTACTTCTTAATGGAAAAACTCCTGGGCCCTAAAACCACTCGGGTCCTGTTTGAGATACTCTGACTTAACTCAAGAATCACTGGGGCAGAAGGGGATATACTCTGTTTGGTTCCTTTCAGTAGCAATGAGATCTACTTCAAAATCCACAATTCTGAAGGCTTAGAGGTCATCAGAGAGGCTCACAGACCCTCAAAGGATATGAACGAGTCCCTGGCCTTGCTGCTGGGAAGGGTCTTCAGATTCCGCCAGTTTTAAGGAACTTGGCCAGTCCCTTGAATGACTAAGGTGCCAGTCAAGTTCACTGACATCTTAAGGTTCCACCCTTTTCATTTTACACCCCAGAAACCCCAAAGTTACACAGTTTCTTTCCCAAGCCTTGTGCAAATTCCCAAACACAGTTTCACCTTCACCCCCATGCCCAAAGCCTGGACACAGAAAACGGTAGCAGGAGGGTGTCCGGGGTAGGAGCAGGGAGGCAGCCCTGGACAGAACCCCTGGGAAGGGTAGCAAGCTCCAGCCACCCTTTCTGTCCCCAGCCTCTGGGACAGATGGTAAGATACCCCCAATCCCCAGCCCCAGATCTTGGAAACTCCAGAAACATACCTTCCTTGAGAGATTTCTCAGTGGAGACTTGACACAGTTGCCCATCCTAAGTTGAGGCAGCCCCTCTTGGGATCTCCGGGTCCATGAAGGAGGCTCCTGGGGGGCTGAGGGACTTCTGTCCCAGTCTCTGCCAACCCCAGCCTCCCTCCGTCTGTGCCGTTCTTCCTCCAGGACGGATGTGAGCCCTCTCTTGCGCGCGTGCTCTCTTACTCGTCTGCCTGCTCCTGCTCTCTGATTTTTTTTTTTTTTTTGGGTGGATTGTGTGTGTTTGTGTGTGGGTTTAACTCTCTGGGCACTTTCTTAAGGAGATGAAAGCAGAAGGGGAGAGTGCAGGGCACAGGGAAAATCACCTGGAGAGCTGATGGCAGAGGGCAGCCAAGCTGGAGAAGGCTGCCGGATCATCTACATCAGATTAGCACTCAGTCCTCTCTCTGGTTCTCTCCTCTTCTCTCGGCCCCTCCTTTCCCCGCTGCCAAATCTGCAGGGAGATGGCCTCAGGGAGGGGGGCCCAGAATGGCAGCTGCGGCTGGGAATTAGGCCAGCAGGCCCAGAAAGGGAAGCTGGCTAGTTTGGGTCCCCGAAGCCAGGGTGCCTGCCGCACAGCTCCCAGCCTTGTATGCGCGCACACACACACACGTGCATGCACACACACACATGCGCGCACAAACACACACACACACACATGCATGCACACACAAGCACTCAGGGAGATGTATGCCCCTTCCAAAGAGCAGTAAGCTGGACAAGCACTCACTGCCCCTGGCAATTCCAGCTGCATTGAGAGCTGCAGCTCCAGTCCGGAGCCTGGGAGGTCTAGTGACGTCTCCATCATGCTCCATTTTTCACACTTGCCTTGTCACTGAAATGGGACGAGGCTCGGGGGCCGGCAGTGCAGATGAGCCAACAGTCAGATCAGATCCTTCTGCTCTGTGTGCAATATCTCCGACCCAAAGGAAACCAGGAGATGGCCCCGAGGGGAGCATGACGGAGGCAGCGCAGGCAAAGAGGGCATGAACAAAAGGTCTCTGAACCTCCTCCTTCTCGCCCCCTGCCTCATCCAGAGCAGAGACCTCTCCCCAGCTTCCTTGGGGTGCCGAGCAGAGAAGCAGCCCTTTACGAAGCGCTCTTCGAGGTCCCACAGCTGGAGTTTTTAGGTGACTGGCTCTTCCTCTCCCTCCAGGGTCGGTTTTGATATGAATTCATCTCACTCCTCAGATGTCCTGTTTGAGACCTACAGCCCCAGCCAGATTCCCCGAGTGCAAGTATCCCTGTTTCCTGCACCCAGCTTTCTCCAGCAGGGGGCACCAGAGATAGACTGGAAGCCGAACTCCTCCCAGGCCCCCGATGCAGCCAATTCTAGCACGCTAGCTCAGTTTTCAGCCGGGAGAATCTCCTTTCCCAGGAACTTCTGTCCCGTTTGGGGTGGCTGCTCAGAACTCCTGTTAGGAAGATGGGTGGGGGCGCTGCCCAGAGGGTGCTCACTCCTAGGGAGCTGGGAAGGAGGTCCCTGGATAACTCCTTGACCTCCCCAGTGCTGCCGCTGAGAGCCACGCAATGGTTTAATCAGGGGAGTTACTCAGCGGCCTTGTTTGGGCCAAACCTCTGGAGGGGGAGATGGAGGAGGAGGAGACTGGGGGGCGGGTACTGATGACTAAAGAACAGAAAAGAGGGTGATGATGCGTGTCTCCTGGAAAGAGCATGAAGGAAGCAGACTCAAGCAGGGGTCAGCAGACTCCGATGAATGGGAAGGACGGGGAGGCCTAGGATTGAGTCTAGCTCTGCCAGCTTATCTTTTTTTTTTTTTTAAATGACAGTGTCTTGCTCTGTTGCCCAGGCTGGAGTGCAGTGCCGCAATATCGGTTTACTGCAACCTCTGTCTCCTGGGTTCAAGCGATTCTTCTGGCTCAGCCTCCTGAGTAGCTGGGATTACAGACACACACCATCATGCCTGGCTAATTTTTGTATTTATAGTAGAGATGGGCTTTTGCCACGTTGGACAGTCTGCTCTTGAACTCCTGACCTCAGGTGATCCACCTGCCTCGGCCTCCCGAAGTGCTGGGATTCCAGGCGGGAGCCCTGGCGCCCAGCACTGCCAGCTTCTGACTGGGTGGTGGCTGCCTCCCATTCCTGAACTTCAGTTTCCTCCACTGGAAAATGGGGCCTTCCCTAGCTTGCTTGTATAGCATACATGGGAAAGTGTGAGACACCGAATAGCTACTGGATCAGTAATTATTTACATGGAAGAAAGAAGTATCACTTGTCCAATGGAGAAATGTCAGGTGCCGTGCTTGGCTCTGGGAACGTTGTGGGGGGATAAGAGAAACACAGTTCCTGATTTCAGGACGCTTACGTTCTAGCAGGTGGGCAGGAGATATTAGAGCTGGGACACGGTTATCTGATTACATTTCAGATAAATGCTATGAAGGGAAAACACCAAAACTCTGAGAATGTGAATGAGGGGAATCTGTCTGAGTCTAGGAGATCAGGAAAGACTTGCAGGCAAAATCTAGAGAACAGACCATATGTAGGCTCCTTTGAAACAATAGTGCTTACTAGGGACCCCAGAGGGACGTTCAGGTTAAGGTCCAGGTGTGAATGGGTGGATATATATAAAGGCCAAAACAGCACAGTGTAAAGCAGAGATTCTCAATGCTGGCTGTAGACTGGCATGACTGGGGAGCTTCCCCAGAAATTCTGACTTAATTCTGTCTTTGATGGGCACTGGACATTGGTGTTGCTTAGTACTCCCAGGTAATTCTAACCTGCAGCCGGTGTTGGGAAGCACTGATGTAGAGGCTAAGAGCTTGGGGCGGGGCGTGGTGGCTCACGCCTGTAATCCCAGAACTTTGGGAGGCATAGGCAGGTGGATCACCTGAAGTCAGGAGTTCGAGGCCAGCCTGCCCAACATGGTGAAACCTCGTCTCTACTAAAAAAAAAAAAAAAAAAAAAAAAAGTTAGCTGGGCGTGGTGGCAGGTGCCTGCAGTCCCCGTTACTCAGGAGGCTGAGGCAGGAGAATCCCTTGAACCCGGGAGGTGGAGATTGCAGTGAGCCAAGATCATGTCATTGCACTCCAGCCAGGCATGGTGGCTCACATCTGTAATCCTTGGAGGCCAAGGCGGGAAGATCATTAAGCCCAGGAGTTCGAGACCAGCCTGGACAACATAGTGAGACCTTGTCTCTATTTAAAAAAAAAAAAAAAACAAAACAAAACTTGTCTGCTGCTTAGTAACCTTGTGGCCTAGAGGACATGTTGATCTTTCTCGGCTTCAGTTTCTTCATTTATAAAATAGGGATTCTAATAGCACCTCCCACAGGGCTCTTGTGAGGAGCTAATGAGATAATACATGCAAAGGGCTTGGCACTGTGCCAAGCATCTAGAAAGCACCCTCTTCCCCTGCCCAGCATTGGTCTTAAAGGACCAAGTGTGGCATCCATTTGTTCAGCAGGGCATCAACTCAGTCAAATCTGGTGGTTACTGCCCCCTGCAGGCCAGTTCGGGCATAGCACCCCTTGTCGACCTGGGGATTTGCCTCTGTCCTTGCAAACAGGAGACAGGAGCTGGCAAAACCATGCCCCTGTGAAAAAATCACACACTTTGAAGAAATCGCATCCTGCTTTGGAGGCAGGTGCAGGAGCTGATACTAGTTTGAGGTTTGAGGATAGCAAGGAATGCAGGGATTTCGATGTGCTTTAAAGCTTGCTTAAGCTAACTTGAGCTGGGCAGGTAGACAGGAGGGACAGATGGCTCAGTCTTCAGTAGGAAATTTTAAAAGGGCTGAACAGCTGGGTATGGCAGCTTATGCCTGTAATCCCAGCACTTCGAGAGGCTGAGGTGGGAGGATCATTTGAGGTCAGGAGTTCAAGACCAGCCTGGGCAACATAGCAAGACCCCATCTCTATTAAAAATTTTAAAATTAGCCAGGCATGGCGGCTGTGCCCCTAGTCATAGATACTCAGGAAGCTGGGGCAGGAGGATCACTTGAGCCCAGGAGTTTGAGGCTGCAGTGAGCTATGATTATACCCTGCACTCCAGCCTGGGTGACAGAGCAAGACCTTGTCTCTTAAAAACAAAACAAAACAAAACAAAAAACACAAAAGGCTGAATGGTGGGGGCTTCCTATAAGGAGTGAAGCATGTTGTATGCCCCCACCTCCCATCTCTATCCACTGTGGCAGCAGCCCTTGGGCCTCTGGAAGCCCTACTTTGAGTGCTAGAATGGAATAATAGGATCAGAGGGATGAGAAGGATAAACTCATTGCTGATTATTCCTGATTAGAAGGGAGGCTGGCCTTTGGCCCTGGTCAGTTCTATCACCAGCATTTGAACTTGGATGACAGCCCAGTACCAAGACACTCAGGGAAAGCCGGGCTGTAACATGAGAGGTGCTTTGCAGATGCTTCCGAGGAACAGGGAACACACTTATATGACTTCCCACCAAAGCAGCATGGCACATACAGAACAGGCAGGTATTTTTGGAGACAAGCAGACCACAGTTCTCAGCACAGTCCTGCCACCTACTTATTGACTTATTTTAAGAGACAGGGTCTCGCTCTGTCACTGTGGCTGGAGTACAGTGGTGCAATCGTAGTTCACTGCAGCCTCAAGCTCTTGGGCTCAAGCGATCCTCCTGACTTGGCCTCCCAAAGTGCTACAATTACAGATGTGAGCCACTACACCTGGCCCTGCCATGTACTTACTATATGGCCTTTGGACAAGTCACTTCCTCTCTCTTCAGCCTTCCTCATTTCTTTTTTTTTTTTTTTTCCAGACAGTCTTCCTCTGTCACCCAGGCTGGAGCGCAGAGGCACAATCTCAGCTCACTGCAAACTCCACCTCCTGGGTTCAAGCAATTCTCATGCCTCAGCCTCCCAAGTAGCTGGGGTTACAGGCGCCCGCCACCACACCCAGCTAATTTTTGTATTTTTAGTAGAGACGGGTCTCACTGTGTTGGCCAGGCTAGTCTCAAACTCCTGACCTCAAGTGATCCACCCACCTCGGCCTTCCAAAGTGTTGGGATTGCAGGTGTGAGCCACCGTGCCTGGCCAACCCTTCCTCATTTCTAAAATTGTGGTGGTGGCGGCGGGGTGGGGGTTGATGATGCTAACCTTCACAGGTAGCTGTGAAGATAAGAAGGTACTTTGTCCACTGTTCAGTGGGCTCTAGACTGAGGCCTCAAGTGCGATTGTTGCCTCTCAAAAACAGCTGGAGGCAAAGGTCCACCTCCTGGAGGACTCTCACTGAACTGACTCCAAGCCACTCCTATCACCTGTGACTGATGCTAACCACAAGCTGACCTTCACTTTGCCTCTCCCCAGGACCCAGAGAAAGGCTATAGGGGCTCCAAGCAGTCTTAGAGAGAAGGAAGGAGATGCGTGACTGGAGCAGGAGTGAGGAATAGACACAGCCCTATCTCAGGAACATAGGCTTGGTGCAATTAAACCCATGAACAAAACCACCACGACATCTCTCCCCATTTAAACCGCGGGAACTGACCAGGCACGGTCGCTCACGCCTCTAATCCCAGCACTTTGGGAGGTTGAGGCGGGTGGATCATTTGAGGTCAGGAGTTCAAGACCAGCCTGGCCAACATGGTGAAACCCCATCTCTATTAAAAATACAAAAATTAGCCAGGTGTGGTAGCACGCACCTGTAATTCCAGCTATTCAAGAAGTTGAAGCACGTGAATGACTTTAATCTTGGAAATGGAGGTTGCAGTGAGCCAAGATCACACCACTGCACTCCAGCCTGGAGTGACAGAGTGAGACTGTGACTCAAAATAAACAAACAAACAAACCACAGGAACTAAGGAAGCCTCTGAAGTCCAGAGGCTGGTGATACCATTCATTCTCTCATTCATTCATTCATTAAATACTGTGATCCTGCTATGTGCAAAGCAGTATGGGAACAAGGATAGCTTATCTGTACTAGGAAACATGTTTCTACAGCTGGAAAAATGGAAAAGATGGGACAAAGCTGTGGGTTTTATCCACATTTGCCTCCTCCACAAGGCATGTTTCTTCTCAAGCTCAGGGTAAGGAGCAGAAAGCCTGTTTCTTAAAATACTCTTCCAAGACCCAAAGCCCCATGTCATCATGCCTCTGCCGAGCTAATTTCTGACATCACATCTTCTCTAGGCAGCTGGGTGGCATGTCCTTAGCCGGCCACAAAGCGGGAGTAGGGAAGATCCTTTGACATTCAGCTCCTTCCCTTAATAGCCGTCCTCACCTGGCTCAGAATCAGCTTTCAAAGTACCTTACACAGGCCCTCATTCAATTACCCTATTAATAACAGCAATAACATTAATGGAAGCTGCCCTTTATCCAGCACCCACTATGAGTCAGGCATTTGATATCCTTAATCTTGTGTAAGCCTCCTAATAACTGCAAAGCAGTTTTTGTCAATCTCATTCCTGGATGAAGAAACCAAGACCAGAGAGAGAAAATAACATGCCCAAGGTCACAGAGATTGAAAGGGACAGAGCCAGGATTAGAACTTGCATCTCTGCTATCTCCCAAGCCACCATTCCATGCCTTAGCCTCAAAACCATACTGTCTCCATGCATATGCAATAAGAATGCTCTATGAGATCACTGGGAGAGTTTTCATCCCTGTTTCCTTTAAGGTAGGAATTCATCTTGATGCCTTCAGTGTCACTCTGAACCCTGGCTCTCTGAGGTTAGGTTATTACAAATGAAAAGGAAGAAGGCCTTGGTAGTTAATCAACAATAACAACAACAAGAATAATAACTAACACTGATAGAGTTAGCCAGGGCTCCATGCCAGGCCTGAGCCAAGCTCTCTCTATCTCTCCATGTCTCATTTAATCTCCTAGGCACCCTGATGATCCCTACGTTGCAGGTAAAGAAGTAGACTCGGCCAGACATGGTGGCTCATGCCTGTCATCCCAGCACTTTGGGAGGCTGAGACAGGTGGATCACCTGAGCCCAGGAGTTCCAGACTGCCTGGGCAAAATAGTATGACCCTGTCTCTATTATAAAAAATATTTTTTAAAAAAGAAATAGACTGAATGAGGTTAAGCAATTCAGTTAAGTTAAAAACAAATGAAACTTGGGGAGACATGAAAATTATACTTCCCCAGGGCTGTATTTTGTCCTAAGCAGATCTTAACTAAAAGTTTCTGTATTCAGAACCCCATCTGCCTTCTCTTGGTTCTGACCCTACCTCTAAGGACCGAAATCTCAATGCAGAGAAAAGGGAAGAAAAGATTAATTCCTCTCTGTCACAGGAGACTGGAGGCTTTGACATAAAAGTCCCAGCCTGGGTTTGCTGTTGTGGCTCACGTAGGTGACTTGGAGGTGTCAAATGGAAGCCCAAACTGAATGTGCTGGGCTTTAAAGTAAAAGCCCACAGCTCTGAGACGCAAGAGCTTCCAGAGGGAGGTAGTAAATATTTGATGGGAACTTCCAGCTCCTCCTGACTCAGGTGACCCTGGTGACATTTCAGAACATTGGGCTGGATAATTCATTTATTGACTGAGAAATTAGAAGGAAAAACAAAAGTACGTCACTACAATGCTCGGAGCTCAGAAAGGGCTCGTGTAGGCACATTCTGCAAGACAGGAAAGAAAGGACTCTTTTTTTTTTTTTTTTTTTTTTTTTTAGGGGCTGGGTCAAATCAGCAGCAAAATGAGTAACCAGAAAGTGTGTGATTCTAGCCAATGACCTGCCCTTCCACACTGCTCGGCTCAGCCAGGGCCCTGGCTATCTGGTTCACTGTTGTCTTCCTGGTGTCTAGCAAATGCCTGAACAAACAAACCACAGGAACTAAGGAAACGCCTGAAGGTTTCCTTAATAAATGCTCAAGAAGTAATTGATAAATGAATGCATCGGTATCACCCATTCAACAAACCAGCATTCCTGCTGCAACCCAGCCCCAGTCCAAAGACCACTAGTGCCCTGACAGCCTACACCTCCTCATTAACACAAACCACTGCAGTGAACTCCCCTAACACATCACCTCACTAACTCTCACGGCTCTGCATCCAAACCTCTACTCCAGAGAACTGTTTCCAGCTAACTCGGCTAACGAGGGCTCCCTGCAGGAACAAAGCCACACACCGCTGCCCTATGGCCCCACCACAGCAGCCCCATGCAACCCAAATCCATGTGCAGCTGCCTTCATGTCAGACCTCCACCAGCATCAGCCACTGCAGAGTAGTATTTTGAAAAGAAATGTGCAGATCTGAAGCAAAACACACAGGGCCTCCTTGGAATTCTGATCCGGCGTGGCAAGCCACGAGCTTGAAACAGCTTCTTTATTTTAGATCTTAGCACAGAAAGGCGCAGGCCCCCCTGTTTCCCTACAAACCATGCAAACGCTCTAATCAGACCTCTGCATGACACCTCTCAGAGGCTGCCACAGAACTGTCTCAAAGCTGTGCCAATGAGTTTGACTTGATTACAGACTCCGAACTAGGGGAAACCCTGGCTTTTTTGCTCAGGAGTTCAGAGGTTTCCTTCTACTGAGCTGTCTCCCCAGCAGCACAGCCCCCAACTGTAGACCTGGATTGTGACTACGGAGCAGTTTTTAAAGGGCAGGTGCCCAGGTGCCTGGGACTCTTGAGGAAAAGGTTGTGGGAACCACTGATGACCTCTTCGTGGCCTTTCTGACCCTTGCAATGGCATCCCTGGAGTGACAGTCTTCTTAAACCACTCCAAAGTTCCAGTTTGAGCCACAGCTCTGCAGTCCCTCCATGCCTACCCAGATATCTCTTCTCTTTCCTCATATTTTTGAATCTCCTAACTTTTCCCAGGCCTTCAGGGACATGATAGGCAGTGGCTAATGTCCCTCGCCCTCAAGTAATTCTGTGTTCTCTGAGGTCTCCTCTCTTGACCCCCAGACTCCAAACCGCTTGCTCTCCTGAGTCGCTCCCCGGCGGTACTGGCCAGAGGCCAGAGGAGTGGGTTTGGCGCCACCTGCTCGGAGCGCCCCTCCTCGACCCCCGCAAATCTCCAGGAGGGTCATAGAGGTCGCTCTCTTCCAGGACTGGCGGGTTCCGGCAGGTATGAGGGAGGTTATGGGGGAGGGCCTTGCCCCGAAGAGGCCCGGAGCGTGGACAGCGCACGGGGTGCTGAACCAGGCACGGGGAGGAGTGCCGGCAAGGGCGCCGGCCCGGGGAGGACGGGGTGAGCCGAGGCGTGACCCGGGGGAGGGGGGCCACGGGCCGCAGGAGGAGGCTGTGGACGCGCAGCCGCGGCCGGCAGGGTCCCGAGCGCCTTTACCGGGAGCGCTGACGGGAGGCGCGGCCCTTACCTGGCCGAAGGCGGAGCTGAGCATGGGGCGCAGCCTGTGGAGGAACGGGTCCGCCTCGGACGCGGCGGCCGGAACGGAGTCCCCGCGGCCCGGGGCTCGCAGAGAGCCCCGGAAGCCAAGCGCCGGGGACAGTCCCCGTTCCTCCCCATCCCGCCCGCGGGCCGGCGGCAGCGGCGACGACGGCGAAGGTCGGGACGCCGCGGCCGGCAGCGCCTCCCGGGGCCTGCAGTGCGCCTGGGGGAGCCCACGCTGGCTCCCCCGCGCGCCCTCCTCTCGCGGCGCCGGCCGGCACAGGGGCCTCCGCGAACTGGGGTCCCCGGACGACTGCGGCGTCCCCGGGCAGGAGCCAGTTAGCCGGCGGCTGGGCAGCCCCGGGTCCCGGGCAGGGCCGTGGCGGGGAGCCCGGCTGCCCCCGCTCGCCGCCGCCGCCGCCGCCGCCTTCAGCAGCGACGTCTTGGACTCGCTTTTGGCGATGTGCGAGCTCATCGCGGCGGGGCCCGCGCTCGCATGGCCCGGCGGGGGCGGCGCGGTGCGGCGTGGCGCGGGGCCCCCGGCGGGCAGAGAACGGGGCGCCCGGCGGGAGCCAAGCCCGAGGACGCGCTGGAGGCGGGCGCCGTCCCCCGGCCGCTTAAATGCGGCCCCGTCGCCGCCGCCCATGTGACAGCGCAGCCTCTATGCCCGGAGCCCGGAGCTCCCGGCGGCTGGCGGTGCAGATCTGGGGGCGCTGCCGGCTGTCCCCGGAGAGCCCACCCCCGGCTCCCTGGCGGCCCAGGTACCGCCGCGCCCCGCCCCTTGCCCCGCCCCTCCCTGGGGAGCCCCGCTTCCGGGCGGCCCCTGGCGGCGAAGGGGACGCTGCAACGCTGAGCGGGAGCGCGAGGAGGGAAGGGGTTTGGCAAGGGGCCCCAAAGAGGCCGAGACCCCGAGAGTGCCGGCAGCGCTCTTTATCACGCCTGGAGGCTCCTGCAGAGTCCCGGAACCGCCCGAACCTCCAGAAATGCAGGCAGGGTGCACTCCCCAGGGGGTACAACTTTGGCAGTGAGGACCACAGAGGTCCAGGGAGAACCGGAGACCCGAGGAGCATGAAGGCACTCTATGACACCACTGCCTACAAACGCAGGGGCCGGAATGCAGTGACAGGACACTGCTGGGAGTAAAGGCTCTCAGCGCCTCCGTGGAGGGCTGCCTCCACTCCCAATATCGTGCGGGGGGACTAGGACGAGCCTGGTAAGTCAGTCACAGGATATCAGTTCTCAGAATAGAAGAGAAGCCAGGTCTGGACAGCACCTGATGATGGTCAACTCTCAGGTAGGACCCATTTGCTACCCCTCCAGCTCTTGTCGCCTCTTTCACCTTCATGCCTTTCTAGATGCTACAGAAATTCCTGCTCTTGGTGGGCAGCCAGAGAGCCTCCCAGGCCTGATTTGAATCTCAAATCCCAGCTCTGCCACCTGCCATCTGGGTAACTTGGGCAGGTGTCACCAACCTCTCTGAGTCTTGTTCTCCTCTTCTGTAAAATGCAAATGATAAGCATAACTAATTTCTTGGTAACAGTAGACGATACTATGCACACAAAAGGCCTAGCCCATTGCTTGGACAGGGAACCATCCAGTTAAGCCAGTTCCCTTCCCCCTGCACCTCCTGAGGCCCCATCTACCACTCTTCTTTAGTATCCGGTGCTTGAGATTTGCAGGGGGCTAGAGGGGTTCCTCCCAGGCTCTCCCTGTTCTGGTCCCTGGCCCCAATGCCATCCACAGTCTGGTCACTGCTCGGCCTCATTAAAAGGATACACAAGGCTGGGCACAGTGGCTCACACCTGTAATGCCAGCACTTTGGGAGGTCAAGACCAGCGGATCACTTGAGGTCAGGAGTTCAAGACTAGCCTGGCCAACATGGTGAAACCCCGTCTCTATTAAAAATACAAAAATTAGCCAGGCATGGTGGTGGGCGCCTGTAATCCCAGCCACTTGTAGGCATGAGAATCACTTGAGCCTGGGAGGTGAAAGTTGCAGTGAGCTGAGATTGGGTCACTACACTCCAGCCTGGGCAACAGAATGAGACCCTGCCTCAAAAAACAAAAACAAAAACAAAAACAAAAACAAAAAAAGAAACACAATAGGACACACGAACAGATTGCCAATATTACACTTCACTCATGCCGAGAGCTCATCCTTCTCTGCAGTGTCTGCTTCTTTACAGAGACTCGCTCTATCGCCCAGACTGGAGTGCAGTGGCACGATCTCAGCTCACCGCAACCTCTGCCCCCTGGGTTCAAGCAATTCTCCTGTCTCAGCCTCCCGAGTAGCTGAGGTTACAGGCACCCGCCACCACGTCCAGCTAATTTTTTTTATTTTTAGTAGAGACAGGATCTCACCATGTTAGCCAGGATGGTCTCGATCTCCTGACCTCATGATCTGCCTGCCTCAGCCTCCCAAAATGCTGGGATTACAGGCGTGAGCCACTGCGCTGGGCCCTGTGTGCTTCTTTTACTTACCCATAGGCAAGGAATTAAGGAAAATGGGATGGACTGGGAAAGCAACTGCCCAGAGGCTAAAGTGAACTAGAAAGTGTGGCAAATTGTTCCCCAGATCAGCTACCCTTCAGGGACTGAATAGCCACATCAAAGCCACTCAGGTTCCTAAAGCCCAAATCCTGAAGCAGCCTGGGGCATTGCAGCCCTGAAGGCTCACTGCAGGGTCGGCTGGAATATGCAGGCTGTAATGAGTCCACCCTTTGAGTTCTGAGGTCAGTCAATGTCTTACCTGTTCCAGCCCTCAGAATAATCAGTGTTTGGCAGGTTTAAAAACAAAGGCACAGTCAATATAAATCACAGGAGATAAAGAACCTTGTCAGAAACCCTCAGGAGCCAATGAGAGGCAGAGGACTGCTGGTATTCTAAATCCCCGCTGTGCCACCGTTGGTAACCTTTCTGGAATGCCCTAAATATTTTTGGGCAAGACCTCGATCACCAACTAGTTTCTGAAAAACTGAAGAATCTGATTATGTTACCTATGATTACTAGAGTAAATAAATAAAAATTATGTCCATGAAGCAAATGGATGAAACACCTGCACTCATATCCCAGATAATCCTGGACATATGCGAGGATTCCATTTCATTTGTAAAATGTATTAATTTGATCACTTATTTGACAAATATGTATACAACCAGACACTGCAGTAGTCATCTTGGATACAAAGATTGATCCATTCATTCAACAAATAATTGAGCGCCTGTTATCTGTCAGGCAGTGTTCTAGGTACCAGGGATATGATAGCAAACAAAATGGTCTCTATCCTCAGCAACAAATAAACAAATACATAAATGCATGGAAAAGTAATGGTGACAAACTGTTGGTGTTTCATGCCATGAGGAGAAATAAAGCAAGTAAGAGATTAGGGCTTAATGGAGGGTGCCCTCCGTTAATATTTATTTATATTTATTTAATATTTTTTATTTTTATTGTTATTTTTATTTAATATTTCTGCATAGAGACAGGGTCTTGCTATGTTGGCCAGGTTGGTCTTGAACTCCTGACATCAAACAATCTTCCCGCCTCAGCCTCCTAAAATGCTGGCATTACAGGCATGAGCCACTGTGCCTGGCTGAGGGTGCTCTTTTAGAGAGTGATTAGAGAAGGCCTCTCTGCAGAGGGAATATCTGAGTAGGAACTCAAATGAAGTAAAGGAGCAAGTCATGTATATATCTGGGAGAAGAGCTTTCCAGGCAGTGGGGAGGCTGTTCAAAAGTCCTGAGGAGGGAATAGCTTGGCATGTTCCAGGAGAAGCGGAGACAAAGGAGGCTGGAGTGAGCGAGGGGAAAGTAGGAGAGATGAAACTGGAGAGGAAAGCAGGGGCCAAAAAAGTCAAGGCTTTGCGTGAAGGGAAGCCACTGGTGGGTTTGCAGCAGTGGGCAGCATATGATAGTTGGCATTATTAAAGCACCATTGGGGCCAGGCACAATGGCTCATGCCTATAACCCCAGCACTTTGGGAGGCCAAGACGGGAGGAATCACCTGATGTTAAGAGTTCAAGACTAGCCTAGGCAACATGGTGCAACCTCATCTCTTTTTCTTTTTTTTTGAGATGGAGTCTTGCTCTGTCACCCAAGCTAGAGTGCAGTGGCACAATCTCGGCTCACTGCAAGCTCCGCCTCATGGGTTCATGCCATTCTCCTGCCTCAGCCTCCTGAGTAGCTGGGACTACAGCCTGCCACCATGCCCAGCTAATTTTTTTTGTATTTTTAGTAGAGACGGGGTTTCACTGTGTCAGCCAGGATGGTCTCGATCTCCTGACCTCATGATCCGCCCGCCTCAGCCTCCCAAAGTGCTGGGATTACAGGCGTGAGCCACCACACCCAGCCTGCAACCTCATCTCTACCAAAGAAATATATACAAAAATTAGCCGGGCTTGCTGGCATGAACCTGTAGTCCCAGCTACTTGGGAGTCTGAGATGGGAAAATGGCTTGGTCCCGGGAGCCAGAGGTTGCAGTGAGCCAAGATCCCACCACTGCACTGCAGCCTGAGCAAAAGAGCCAAACCCTGTCTCAAAAACAAACAAACAAACAAAAAAGGCAGAGAGTCAGGGGAGAAAACCAGCTAAACTGGGAAACATGTAATAAGAGGATTGTGACCTAAATTATATGGGAGAACCCTAAGGGGAGCTAGAGAAAGCATTAGACGAGGTCACATTTGAGCTGCTTTTTGAAAAATAAGTGAAATTCGATCAGATGAATAAAGAGGGCCAAAGGAAGGTCATGTCAGGCAGGGGGCATAGATTAAGTCAGGGTTGGGAGTGTGAACCTGCATGGCGTGCTTGGGAATCATTTGGCGATTGGGCAGGGAGAAAGAATAAGGGCTGGGAAATGGGCCTAAAATGGTGGTTTGGAACTAGACCATGAAAGATCTCCAGCGTGACATTCAGCAGTTTGTACTTTATTTTATTGGCAATGGAGAATCCTTGAAGGTTTTGTGAGTTTGTGTAGGATGCAAGCAGAACTGTGTTTTTGAAATGATGCTTCAAAATGCAATGCAAAATGCAAGCAGAACTATGGTTTTTTTGGTTTTTGCTTTTTGTTTTTGAGATGGAGTCTCGCTCTGTCACCTAGTTTGGAGTGAAGTGATCCAATCTCGACTTACTGCAACCTCCGCTTCCCAGGTTCAAGCAATTCTCCTCCCTCAGCCTCCCAAGTAGCTGGTATTACAGGTGCCCGCCACCATGCCCAGCTAATTTTTTTTTTTTTTTGGTATTTTTAGTAGAGACAGTGTTTCACCAGTTTGGCCAGGCTGGTCTCAAACTCCTGACCTCAAGTGATCTGCCCACCTTGGCCTCCCAAAGTGCTGGGATGACAGGTGTGAGCCACTGCGCCCGGCCCAGAACTGTGGTTTTGAAATGATGCTTCAAAAATGCAATGCAAAAAATACATTGTCAGGTAGGCTGGAAGGAGACTGAAGGCAAGACCAGTAAGGTTCATTCACTTAACAGAAATTACTGAGTGCCCACCAAGGGCTAGGCCTCAGCAATAGAATAGTAAATAAGTGAATATCATACCTTTCTTCATGGATTTTAAATCTGGTGGGGAGGTCATGAGGACTAATTTCAGAGGCTGGGTCAGATCCAGGAATATTCCAGAAATACCATCATTAAGACATGGAAAATCCTGAATGTGGAAAATGAGAATGGCTTGCTCACTGATTGTGAGATGCAATGGAAATCCAGTTGCTTCCAAGTATCCTGCCATGTAAAACAATTTTAAAAGAGTATTTTTGGATTGTATATACCTTTACAGCTTTAAAAGCACTTTCACGACCAGGCGCAGTGGCTCGAGCCTGTAATCCCAGCACTTTGGGATGCCAAGGCAGGAGGATCACCTGAGGTCAGGAGTTCGGGACCAGCCTGGCAAACATGGTGAAATCCCGTCTCTTCTAAAACTACAAAAATTAGCTGGGCGTGGTGGTGGGTGCCTGTAACCCCAGCTACTCAGGAGGCTGAGGCAGGAGAATCGCTTGAACCTGGGAGGCAGAGGTTGCAGTAAGCCGAGATCGCGCCATTGCACTCCAGCCTGGGCGACAGTGTGAAACTCCATCTTACAAAAAGAGCATTTTCACATAAAGCCTCTATTTGCCTTTAGGTGTTACACAAATTGTAATTATTAAATAATTACATGTTGTTATATTATTTGACTGTATAATCATTGGTGAAAACTAGGCAGAAAAAGAGCTGTTTTGCAGTGCAGGAAAGGCATCTCAGCATACACGGGCAGTGGAATAGAAAAGGTGGGTTTGGGAGGACTGCATCAGTGTAGAGAGAACAGTGTGTTTAGCTGTCTTTATGCCTCATGTCTAAGAGAATCCATCCAGAAAGAGTAAGGCAGGGTTAAGAGCAAAACTCCTAAAATGTACCTGGATCTCTCATTTAACAGATCTCAGTTTGATGATGCCATGTCCCTGTAGCAAACTCCTTTAAAAATTGTTGTTTCCTCACCAAGACTGTATGTCATGTTTAGAGTCTTGAAAAAGGTTGTGGAGCATTTACACGGTGGTGCTTGAATTAATTCTCTGTGACGTTCTTTGTCTAACTTGTTCCTTTCTGCTATTGTCAGAATCAAATTTTGCACTTAATCTCCCCTTGTTTTCAGATGACAATATCTCTGTTGGGTTTCAGAAAGCTGGGATTACAAAATGTTCTTATGGTTTTAAGTCCTCTGTGTGATTGCAAAACTCAGGAAACGATTGGATGAGATTTTAGAGGGTGGGGGTAATAGTCAGTGGACTACATAGAAGATTCTTTTCCAATAATCTGCCCTTGGACCCAAATGTCCATCACTTGAGAGAATGTCAAGATTTTTTTTTTTTTCGAGACAAATTCTCACTCAGTTGCCCAGGCTGGAGTGCAGTGGTGCCATCATAGCTCACTGGAGACTTGACCTCCCAGCCTCAAGCATTCCTCCCATCTCAACCTCCCAAGCAGCTGGGACTACAGGCACATGCCACCATGCCCACCTAATTTTTTTTATTTGTAGTGGAGATGAAGTCTTACTCAGTTGCCCAGGTTGGTCTCAAACTCCTGAGCTCAAGCAATCCTCCCACTTCGGCCTCCCAAAGTGCTGGGATTACAGATGTGAGTCACCACGTCTGGCCTCCAAGATTTTTAAAATAAAAATGAAAAGGGTTTGTATGGGTTACAAGAATTTATGCCTGGAACTGGGCGCAGCAGCCCATGCCTGTAATCCCAGCACTTTGGGAGGCCAAGGCGGGTGGATCACTTGAGTTAGGAGTTTGAGACCAGCCTGGCCAACATGGTGAAATCCTGGCTAAAAATACGAAATACTAAAAATACGAAAATTAGCCGGGTGTGGTGGCGCATGCCTATAGTCCCAGCTACTTGGGAGACTGAGTCAGGAGAATCACTTGAACCCAGGAGGCAGAGGTTCCAGTGAGTGGAGATTGTGCCATTGCACTCCAGAATGGGTGACACAGCAATTCTCAGTCTCAAAAACAAAACGAAAAAACAAAACAGCAACAACAACAACAAAAAAAACGCGGTGTCAGGCACCTGTAGTCCCAGATACTCGGGAGGCTGAGGCAGGAGAATGGCGTGAACCCGGGAGGCAGAGCTTGCAGTGAGCGGAGACTGTGCCACTGTACTCCAGCCTGGGCGCTAGAATGGGACTCCGTCTCAGAAAAAAAAAAAAAAGCCTGGATCAAAACTGAACTATACACTTAAGACTGTACATCTCACTGTGTATAAATAATAATTCAATAAAAGGAAAAATCAAACCATCAGGACAGATAGAGCAAAAATAATTAATACTGACAAGTACAACGGTTGACTGGACCAAATTTTTTTTTTTTTTTAGACAGAGTCTCCTTCTGTTGCCAGGCTTGAGTGCAGTGGCTCAATCTTGGCTCACTGCAACCTCCGCCTCCTGGGTTCAAGCAATTCTCCTGCCTCAGCCTCCCAAGTTACTGGGACTATGGGCGCGTGCCACCATGCCCAACTAATTTTTGTATTTTTAGTAGAGACAGGGTTTCACCATGTTGGCCAGGATGGTCTCAATCTCTTGACCTCATTTTCTGCCCATCTTGGCCTCCCAAAGTGCTGGGATTACAGGCGTGAGCCACCGCACCCGGCCTAATTTTTTTTTTTTTTTTATTTGTGGTAGAGATGAGGTCTCCCTTATTTGCCCAGGCTGTTCTCAAACTCCTGAGCTTAAAAGATCCTCCTACCTCGGCCTCCCAAAGATTACAGGCTTGAGCCACTGCACCTGGCCTCCAAGATTTTTAACATAAAAATGAAAAGGGGTATGGGTTGCAAGAATATATGCATGGGTCAAAACTGACTATACACTTAAGACTGTACATCTCACTGCATATAAATAATAACTCAATAAAAAGAAAAATCAAACCATCAGGACAGATAGAGCAAAAATAATTAATACTGACAAGCACAACGGTCAACTGGACCATCTTAGGGGCATGAATTATGATTTTGGTGACTGAACTCACTTGGTTACTGAGGCAAAGGAGGGATAAGCATTGATGAAGGAAATCCTATTCCTTACAGATGACTGATTGGTCAGAAGTTGCCATCTTTTAAAAACAGTACCCTTGGGACCGGGCACGGAGGCTCACACCTGTAATCCCAGCACTTTGGGAGGCTGAGGCAGGCGGATCACCTGAGGTCGGGAGTTCGGGACCAGCCTGACCAACATGGAGAAACCCCGTCTCTACTAAAAATACAAAATTAGCCGGGCGTGGTGGCGCATGCCTGTAATCCCAGCTACTTGGGAGGCTGAGGCAGGAGAATCGCTTGAACCCGGGAGGCAGAGGTTGCAGTGAGCCAAGATCACACCATTGGACTCCAGCAGCACACTTGGCCAGGTACAGTGGCTCATGCCTGCAATCCCAGCACTTTGGGAGGCCAAGGTGGGTGGATCACTTGAGGTCAAGAGTTTGAGACCAGCCTGGCCAACATAGTGAAACCCCATGTCTACTAAAAATACAAAAATTTGCCATACATGGTGGCGGGAGCCTGTAATCCCAGCTACTCGGGAGGTTGAGGCACAAGAATCGCTTGAACCCAGGAGGTGGAGATTGCAGTGAGCCAATATCCCATTGCTGCACTCCAGCCTGGGCAACAGAGCAGGACTCTGTCATAAATAAATAAATAGCATGCCTGATCTCCAAATGTTAGAACCTATCGTCTCCATCATTCCTCATTCAGAATATTCCCCCTTTTCTTTGCCTAATCCAGAGCAGTTCCCAACCTCTCTGAGATCCTCACTGGATGCAGGAAGTAGTCACCCCCTATGCTTTGCACCTTTAATACTGGTGCCATGCACCCCGGTACTCTAACAGGGTAGATACATTCGATAAGTTGACCACACACCAGAAGCCACCCACGACATCTATGCAGTTTCCATGAGACGAAAGCAACGCATGTTCAGATGACCCTACCACATTTCAGCCACTGCGGCCTCCTTTATGGTCTGTCTCCCAACATCCCACTAAACTGGACGTTCCATGAAAGCAGAGACAAGCTCTGCTTTAGGTACATCCTGGACTTAGCACAGTGACCAAAACATAATAGCATAATAGGTACTCACATCATATTATTTAGTGAATGAATAACAAATTTTTGAAAAGATAACCATTATTGCTTTTTTCTTTTTCTTTTTTTTTTTTTTTTTTTTTTGAGACAGAGTCTTGCTCTGTCACCCAGGCTAGAGTGCGGTGGTGCAATCTCGGCTCACTGCAACCTCTGCCTCCCAGGATCAAGCAGTTCTCCTGCCTCAGCCTCCCAAGTAGCTGGGATTACAGGCGTGCACCACCACATCTGGCTAATTTTTATATTTTTAGTAGAGATGTTGACCAGGCTGCTCTCGAACCACCTAGGCCTCCCAAAGTGCTGGGATTACAGGTGTGAGCCACTGCACCTGGCCCATTATTGCTTTTATGGAAATGAGTCCTCTATGCCTGGACTCAGTGGATGGGGGAGGGTGGCCATAAAAGAAGATGCAGCAGGGGCTGTTGTTCTCCTTCAGACAGCTCATTTCTGTTGCATGCAAATACAACCTGGATCCTGAGTGACCGCAAGCATAAAGGTGTATGTGACCTTTAAGGACCAGGCATGTTTTCGCCACAGGCAGGAGGGTTCTGTGTTTTAATTGCCTGGAGGTTCCATCCAAAAGCAGTCAGCCAACAGTGCAGTCTGTGAGCAGGGCGGTTACATCTGTGGCACTTGGAGTGGTGCCTGGCCATGCACCAAGAAGGCCTACTGGTACCACACGGTGAAAGCAAAGTGGGTTCAGCAAAGGAAGCTCCCATTGCTGCATGGACAGGTAGAGCTCCTCATGAAATTAAATAAAATAAGATCCTCTCAACAGACTTAAGTATTAGCAGAGGGATGGGAGCATAGGGAATTCAAAGATTCAACTCTTTACCCAGTAGTAGGGAAGTATTTCAATATTTTAACAATTGAAAAGCAATACCAGAGCACATCAGCTGCTTTCCAGTCCTCAATGTTAGAACTCTGCCCACCACTCCTTTCCTTTGGAAGCTGCCACTTCCAGATTTTTAAACAAGATGTATAGGCAATGCCTTTACTAGGACATCTCAGCATGTGATTCTGGCTGACAGGGCCTTGCCGGGAGGCTCCTCACCTTACAGAGTTCTGAGATAATTTTCCCTTTGTAAGTGACATCACCGACCTGAAGGTGGACTCCAGGTAACTGCCCTATCTGGGGAACAATCATTTCGCAGATATGTGACTCGCTGTTGGAGAAATTCAGAGACCTTATCAAGCAGATCTCTACTCTCCCAGCTCTGACACAGCCAGCCCTGTCCCTGTGCTGTGTGTAACCCAGCAACAAAGATGTACACAGGGACCAGGCTAAAGGAGGGAGTCACTATTCTGAAGCTAAAAATCTCCAAAGATGCTCGGCCTTTAACGGAGGAGGGCTTTTAGAAAAAAATCCAGCAAATTCTCTGCCCTTTCAACTTCACTTTCTGTTCTCTTTTTATCTGCTTTCAGCATTTCCAATTAATCTTGGAATGAGAGCCGAGGGCAAGAAGCCAGCAGTGCCTGAGGGAGGCTAAAGAGCCAACCGATCCAGGGAAACAAATGCCAGCGAGGGACCCCACAGCAAAGAGACAGACACTGTGAGCAACTCTCCTGTTACCATGAGGCTTGCGAGGCGTGTGCGCGGGTCTCCGCATTGGCACCATCTGCCAATTCCTCAGGAGGACAGAACAAACCAGTGAGGCATGAAGATTAGATTATGTAACGCTCGAGGATTGCTGTTTTCAAAGAGGAAACAAATGGAACGAATTGATTTGCTTGTCAAAGTCATGTCACTAAAGGAGATCTATTCCCTCCTCTTCTAAAAGGACCTCATTAATGAGTGGAATGATTTCACAGATTCAGAAAATGTGAGACCACAATCCACTCCATTCATGAGAGCAAGTCCACTTTCCAGAGTCACCCTCACACATTCTATTCTGGTCCCCCAGCCTGAAAAAATGTCTATCCAGCGACTACCTAAAGGGTACCGACCTGGTGAGGGACATAATTGTCAGTTGCTAGCCATAAGATTTAGAGCCGGAGGCCAGGCATCATGGCTTACGCCGGTAATCCTAGCACTTTGGGAGGCCGAGGTGGGTGGATCATGTGAGGTCAGAAGTTCAAGATCAGCCTGGCCAACATGGTGAAACCCCGTCTCTACTAAAAATACAAAAATTACCTGGGCATGGTGGCACACACCTGTAACCCCAGCTACTCAGGAGGCTGAGGAATGAGAACCACTTGAGCCCAAGAGGCAGAGGTTGCAGTGAGCCAAGATCACGCCATTGCACTCCAGCCTGGGCAACAGAGTGAGACTCCGTCTCAAAATAAATAAAAATAAAAATCAGAACCTGTGTGCTTTGCCTGAACTTTCTTGCTTCTGGGGAAGCAGTGTCTCGTTTTGAGACCAGTGGGATTGTATTTACTATTCAGAGCTCTAAACAAGTGCTCTTGATAGAGGAAGGATGTGTTCTTAAAAATATATGAATCAGAAAAAATATATATATGTACATATATATATATATATATATGCATCAGGAAGGAAAACGCATTGAATTTCTCAGAGTGCTTTGCCATTGCTGGGCTTCTCTCAAATACCCAGCACAATACTTTTTCTAGTATCCTCAGGAGATCTAAGGAATGAACAAATGAGAACCCTAAACCTGCTGCCATAGTCCCATCCCTTAAGGTTTCACAGCCTCCCTAAGATACCAGGATTTAAATATCAAGTCTTTATCCAGCATGCAAATGAAGTCTCCTCTACCAGATAGTTTCCATTTGCCCTCCGGATCTGCTCTTCCACCCTTCTCCGTGCTGCCCTTGGCCCTGGCGGGCTGACCTACATGGACTGCAGCAGCTCACTCTCCTGCCCTCTAGCTTCCAGGCGGGCACAGCCAATGGGAGCGGCAGCAGGAGATGGGAGGGCAGGAGGACAGCGTGGGTGAAGTGTTGCTTTCCCTACTTCCCTCCTGCCAGACGGCCTTAGGTTGGTTGTGCCTTTTGATAAAAGGTCACCCCTCTTTCTCAAGGCAGCCTGCTCCACACAACTCTCTCTTTCTGGGTTCTGTCATTTCTTCCCCCCCTCAACCTTCAGATCTAAGAGTGGTAAAGGCCCTGTGGGTACTGCACTATCCCTTATAGCTTCCACACACCCTGCTTAAATCTTGTAAATAGTCCATTTATTAAATCTTCTTCTAATGATCTAATTTGAATGTGCCATCTGTTTCTTATACAGACCCTGCCTGACATACCTTTCACACGTGACAGTCTGTTCTAGGCCCTACACCACATTAAAAAGAAGAAAAAGTAGGGCCAGGTGCAGTAGCTTATGCCTGTAATCCCAACACTTTGGGAGACTGAGGCGGACGGATCACAAGGTCAGGAGCTCGAGACCAGCCTGGCCAACATAGTGAAACCCCATCTCTGCTAAAAATACAAAAATTAGCTGGGCGTGGTGGCGGGCGCTTGTAATCCCAGTTACACGGGAGGTTGAAGCAAGAGAATTGTTTGAACCCGGGAGGCGGAGGTTGCAGTGAGCCAAGATTGCACCACTGTACTCCAGCCTGGGCAACAGGGCGAGTCTCTGTCTCAAAAAAAAAAAAAAAAAAAAAAAGTAGCAAACTTAACAATACAATATGCTACCACTTCATGTAGTTATTCTCAATGTTCACCTTTTCCCAAGGCTATAACAACAACTTAAAGATAAAACTTAATTCCTCTTTACAACATAATTGTGCAGTAGAGTTTGTATGAGCTAAATATAATTCAGAGAACAAGCATTTTCATGCCATCAAAATTCATGTTAACAACTATAAAGAGAAAACCCTAGAATTGAGGCCCCTGACTTTCAATGTAGCAGAAAATATATTCCAGTATTTAAATCTATCTAACAAATATTTGAAAGTCTACTATGAGTCCAGCAAGGTGGTGATCTTACAGTGGGGAAAAACATAGACGTGGCCCCTGCCTTTGTGAAACTTGTTCTTGTTTTCTAAAATAAATATGCTTCTAGGCCGGGCTCAGTGGCTCACACCTGTAATCCTAGCACTTTGTGGGGCTGAGGTGGGAGGATTGCTCGGGCCCAGGAGTTTGAGATCAGTCCAGGCAACATAATGAGACCTCATCTCTACTAAAAATAAAAAATCAGCCAGGCATGGTAGCGCATGCCTATGGTCCGAGCTACTAGGGAGGCTGAGGTGGGAGGATTGCTTGAGCCTGGGAGATCGAAGCTGCGTGAGCTATGATCATGCCACTACACTCCAGCCTGGATGAAAGAGCAAGACTCTGTCTCAAAACGATTTTTTTAAGTAAACAAATTAATGTACTTCTAAAAAGTTGAATGTAAATTGCAATTCCATAAATCCAATAATACATTGTATGGTCATGGGGAGCATACTATTTGAATAATAATTTGTAAAATAATTACCCTTGAATCTTTTGAACCAATCAAATTTTTCATCCATCCAGGTACTTCAAATGAAATTTATCTTTAGTCTGTAGGGAGGATTGATCTCCTTCGATGCTCCTGGAATGGTGGAAATTGTGGAATGGAATTTAGAGGAGAGAGAGGGAATTACCATTTATAGATCACATATAGAATGCTAGGCAATTTGCATCTTTTAGCATATTTAACCCTGAGAAGAAACACACAGTCCATCATTCTCTTATTTCCTATTTCTGAAAATAAAGTTTTAAAAATTAGTATGGCAGGTGTGGAATTCAAAATCCATTTTTCCGAATGAGGAGGCAAAGCAAAATGATTCAGTGGAGGACTCTAAAGATTACATTATCCCCCAGCTTCAGTGGCTTCCTGCTGCTCTTAGGATCAAGTCCAAAATTCTTCCCAGGGCCACTGTTCCCACGCCCGTCGGTTCTCGAGACCATCCAGACTCATTCCTCCTTGAAAGCTTTTACCCTCCTCAATGTCACTGGTCCATCTTCAACCTCTTCCGCTCCCAGCTCCCCCAGATTAACTCGGATGCATCCCTTCAGTTTCTACTCAGTTTCCACTTCCCAGGGAAAGTCTGTCTCCCCAGTTGGGCCCATGTCACGCACAGTATCTTTAGTGCTGAACACCAGAGAAGGGCTCATTTGTTACCTGGGTGAACGGATGAGGAAGGGCTGCCCAGAAGGGCTGCCCTGCCTCAGGCCAACCATTTCCCTGGTTGGTTTCCTTTGGTCCCAGGGGCCTGCCAAAGCCTCCCTCAAACATGGAACGGGTGGCCGGGAGCAGTGGCTCACTCCTCTAATCCCAACACTTTGGGCGGCCAAAGTGGGCAGGTCGCTTGAGGCCAGGAGTTCCAGACCAGCTTGGGCAACAAAGTGAGATCCCCTTCTCTACAAAAAATTTTTTAAAATAGCTTGGGTGGGGCCGGGCGCGGTGGCTCAAGCCTGTAATCCCAGCACTTTGGGAGGCCGAGACGGGCGGATCACGAGGTCAGGAGATCGAGACCATCCTGGCTAACACGGTGAAACCCCGTCTCCACTAAAAAATACAAAAAACTAGCCGGGCGAGGTGGCGGGCGCCTGTAGTCCCAGCTACTCGGGAGGCTGAGGCAGGAGAATGGCGGGAACCAGGGAGGCGGAGCTTGCAGTGAGCTGAGATCCGGCCACAGCACTCCAGCCTGGGCGACAGAGCGAGACTCCGTCTCAAAAAAAAAAAAAAAAAAAAAAAAATAGCTTGGGTGGGCCGGGCATGGGGGCTCATGCCTGTAATCCCAGCACTTCAGGAGGCTGAGGCAGGCGGATTACCTGAGCTCAGGAGTTCCTGAGACCAGCATGGGCAACGTGGTGAAACCCCGTCTATATCAAAATACAAAAAATTAGCCAGGCGTGGCGGCAGCTGCCTGTAATCCCAGCTACTAGGGAGGCTGAGGCAGGAGAATCGCTTGAACCCAGAAGGTGGAGGTTGCAGTGAGCCAGGATCAGGTCACTGCACTCCAGCCTGGGAGACAAGATGAGACTAGGTCTCAAAAAAAAAAAAAAGCTTGGGTGATTGTGCGAGCCTGTGGTCTCAGCTACTCAGGCGGCTGAAGCAAGACGATCACTTGACCTGGGAGGCGGAGGTTGCAGTGAGCTGTGATTGCGCCACTGCACTCCAGCCTGGGCAACAGACCTAGGCCCTGTCTCAAAGCAGAAAACAGACAAAGGTCAAAAGAATCCTCATTTGAGGTTCTAGAAGGTCTTTGCCTTCTCTCTCAGCCCCTCAAGTGCACAGTCCGATGTTTCAGGACCCCGAACTCCAGCCGAGGTGAGAACAAAGCTGTCCCAAGGGTCCCCACTGACGACAGAAAGTTCCTGAGGCCTCGCCCTTGAGAACTTGGGTGGCACCGGGCCACATGACTCGTGGCGGCTGCGCATGCGCAGGGCCATTATTCAGTAGGCTCTCTCCAGCCCTACCCCGAAGTTGGAGGGCAGGCAACAGTGCAGCAGTGGGGCTGGGGGTTCCAGAGATCACCTGAAAGGTCAGCGTGGGGTTGGAGTGTATTGAGCACCACCCGGTGGCAGGCATTGAACTGCATTCTCCCACTGTATACTCCCATAGGCTCTGTGTAAGAGGGACACACGCACTGGTGTGCCCATTTTACAGATAGAAAAACTGAGGCCCCATTGTCTTTTTTGTTTGTTCGTTTGAGACAGTTTCACTCTTATCGCCCAGGCTGGAGTGCAGTGGCGCAATCTCAGCTCACTGCAACCTCCGCCTCCCAGTTTCAGGCTGTTCTCCTGCCTCAGCCTCCCAAGTAGTTGGAACTGCAGGCACGTGCCACCACGCCCAGCTAATTTTTGTGTATTTTTAGTAGAGATGGTGTTTCACCATGTTGGCCAGGCTGGTCTCGAACTCCTGACCTCAGGTGATCCACCCAGTGTTGGGATTACAGGCATGAGCCACCGTGCCCGGCCCCTGTTGTCTTTAGAACTTGTCCAAATGCACAAGTGCAGTACTGGGATTTGAACTCAAGTTGCTCTGGCTTCCAAAGGCCCAAGCTCTCTTAAGTCCTCCCGTATTCACAAGTAAAGTTTGTTTTCCCAAAGTGTAGTCACCACTGGGAGGGAGTTCCTTCTTTTCTTTCCTAGTAACCCCAAGCCAGCTGCCTGCATGGATTTATGTCCTGGCTGTGGGACCTTGGACCAAGTCATATCACCACTGAGCCTGAGTTTCATCATCTATAAAATGACGACGTAGGCCCGGCACGGTGGCTAATGCCTGTAATCCCAGCACTTTGGGAGACCGAGGCGGGAATATCACGAGGTCAGGAGATCGAGATCTTCCTGGCTAACATGGTGAAATCCCATCTCTACTAAAAAATACAAACATTTAGCCAGGCATGGTGGCACGGGCCTGTAGTCCTAGCTACT